TTTAGCGCCTAACCACTCAAATATCAAGCCAACCGACTATGTCCGCTCCTTGAGCACAAGTAAAACAGTTACCATACGCGGCAAAATAATATGAAGGAAGTAAAAAGAGAGTATACACACGCGCCATTGATTCCCTATGGATGGTCCACTTCACGATAGCTGAAAGAAAACTGGTCTTCTCGATGAATACATTTCTCTAATAAAAGATCAAAATGAATTGTTTAGTCTTGAATGAAAATTTCAAATCATTTGTTAAATTTAAGTAACACACCATTAGTAATATCGATTAAATATCTCGATATTTTCCGAAATCAATGACACTTTTTCAATTGGAATCGATGAACGACGTAAGTCTTCCTCGAAATCCCAAGAGAGAAAGAAGAGAGAGATACATATATGTATCCCAGCTGGTTGTTGAGTCCTGATAAAAATCGTAACGTTTTGACCGAAAACAAGATGAAAAGAAAGAAAGAGAGAAAGCACATCGAAATCTATCCCCTTCGTTTCACCAGCAGCAATGACAGTAACGGGCAGCACCCTTCGCAGTGACGATCGAGCCGCGTGGATGCTTTTTTTCTATTTCTACCCCAACATAAGTAACTAGGGTACCTGTAGCCCTAGCTCACGTTGTCCCCTTCATCTATCTTCCGCCCTGCTCCTCCCTTTCACGAAAACGTCCTCTCGGATGAACGCGTACGAAGAATAAAAATCGCTCACACGTAAGAATCGCGAGTATGTCAATCCTGTTCTATCCTAAGAATATGAACTACCATGTACATCGAACCATGCTAATTACATTTTAATTCCTTTCGGTGACAAATAAAAAAGGGCTAATAGTGACGTATAAGATTTTATCACGCGGCCTCGTAAGATGAATATTTAAGAATTAGAAACGATTTAAAAAAAAAGAAAAAAAAAACAAAGGAAAATACTATAAAGAAAAGAAAACTACACTCGTGAGCGTAGTTGGTCCCGTTTTTACGCGTGAAAAGATTTAGGGAAAAAAAGATAGGTCGACAGTGTGAAAATCCTCGTATCGTCCCGTTTATTGACAAAACATCCGATCTCGTTCGGCGCGACAAAAATCCTAAAAGAACGAACTTTACGGCAGCTGCATCTAACAGACTGTAAATAATAGGTTACCTCAGAGTCAGATTTCTGGAAGACTGCTCTAAGTTATGCAAACCAAATGGAATATCGATCAGGTGTTTTTTAAATCGAATCTTTTCATGATACGATGTTAATCAACTTGGTACTATTACCGTCATGAAGACAATGAATCTAATTTGAAATATAACTAATAAATGTTATAACAACGTTTCGTGAAATTGACGTTAACGATATGACGTGTAAAAAAAAATGGATTGACCAACCATCATCAAATATCACCCTATTATCTATGGACTGTCACGGTTTTAGAGGATTACACGTCGATTACGAGGCTCAATTTGAAATCTCTCCACCACTCAGCCATTCTTCATAACTTTTTCTTAATGCCGTAGCAACCCTTTTGTGGGTTACTCGATGGTTTTACAATCAGTCAGCCGTGCTGTGACATGGCCGATGGCTCGTCGAAGGGTTACCTCGTTTCGTCAAAGCGGATTACACTTCGCCTTCTTCTTTTTTCTTACACTTTTAACCGAGTCGATATCGGATCGACGTATGGGATGAAATTTTTGGATCGATGAACTTTCAAAGAATCAAAGATTACTCTCATTGATCACAAACGGGCGCACAGAAAAAAAAAAAAAAAAAGAAAAATAACGTAACCCTTACTCTCCGAGGATTCCTCGAGAACCTTATAGAAATTAGTTAGTTTTCATCGTTTATATTTTTGTCTCCGCCCTTTCTCGTATTTTTCCTAGTCATTGTTTACAAAAGCAGACCCTCGCGACGTTCAAGGGGGCGTGGCGATTTAAAGAAAGGGTTCCCGAATGGCTTTCGAAAACGAAATGACCGCAAAGCCGTCACGCTTGTCTCTGTATCTATAAAATAGTTCTTCTGTCTCCCTTTCTCTCTTTTTTTCTCCACCAAATGTATCTTTAAGTTACCAATAGCTCAAATATCCTACATTGGTAATATAAATAAATAACAAATTTAGCCTGAATAATCTACAATGAAAAATTCTAATCGCGCGCCAGATTATTCATTTCAAAATCTCTTAGAAGGCTGACTTTTTTTTGATGAAAAAAGTATTTCCGATAGTTCGAAGACGCGAAATAAAATCGGTCGGAAGTATCAGGAAGCACTCAATGCCTACTCGGCACTTGGAAACATCAGAGACCCCTCCAACGTACATTGCAAAGGTGCCCCCAGCTTTTTTCCACTATGAATGATGATGTATGGATGTTGGCTGGGCGCTAGGGGCTGAGTAAAGGGTTCCATTGTTGTGAACACCCCCCTGGAGAATGAACCCTCTCGCCCCGCGGGGCGAAACCTTCGTGAAATATTACTGCCAAGGAACAAACTGCGTTCTGCAGCCTGTATATATTGTTAATTTTATGCCCGATTTTTTGTCCACTCCATCTTACCCCCTCCATTTCTTCACATACGTCGAAAGTGGTACATCCGAGCCGTTGCTACCTTTCCATACCCTTTTTATTAACAACAAACATTGCAACTGTTTTATCCTGAACAATAAGTTCATTCTTCTTCTCGTCTGCCGTTAACCTGTCAAAATTACAAAGTTTTCATTTTGTATTGCTTGTGTTGTCATTAAAAAAATGTAGATACCTTATACAAACAATGCGTAGAAAAACTTTTTAAAATATAATCTATTAATCGCGTAATAATATTACTCTAGTAAATGTAAGATGTGGTATATTAATTACTAAGATTGTGTACAGTAGAAAGGATTAATGCGTTAAAGCCGTAACCAGATCCACATTAGGGCAAGGAATATTCATATCCATAAAAGAGAGAGAAAGAGAAAGAGAAAGAGAGAGAGAGAAAGTCTGTGTAGCGACCCTTAGATGTTAGAGAACAATAAAGGACCGCAATTAACCAGGGGCCCTGTAATCGGAGTCCCGATATTCGATCCAGAATATAATATGCAAATTCGATCGGACACGGTTTTAGAAATTCGCTATGGCCCTTCTTCTCTATCAACAATGCGTGACTCGTGCCAACAATAGGAAATAATAAACCGTGATAAATAGCCAAGCAAATACGCAGGACAATCCAAAAAAGTTCGTCGCTATCATTTCTCTCTCTCTCTTTCTTTCCTTCTCTACGCTTCATCTCTTGGCATGTCCAGGTGCACGACTCGAATACCCAAATAAATACCAAGTGCAAATAACATGAACCCTAGTTGAGTCGATGGGTTCTTTCGACGAACAAATATCAGCATTAATTTTAACGCTTGCCTATGCATATTAACGAGTGAATTCTCTGAAAGCAAGTCAACATTATCTTCTAATTCTAAAAATCACATGCATACTATGATAAAAAGAACTACGATTCATAGTCAGGAACACACACAAACGCACTTGCATATATATACAGCGTCGTACTTCGAGGAAGTTGATTTTGAAGAGGCAACCCTGATCAGAATGTGGTCCGCGGAGACAGATTGAGGGGCGTGCTGAAATAAATCAGCCTTTTGTTTTACAGCCCTAAAACGGCCGTTGGAGATTTGGAGCGCGAAGTGACGTCCATTCATAAGAACACCCCAGCTGCAAGAACGAAAAGGCTTCGTAGCTACTTCAAAAAACTCTAGAATAGTACTTCTCTCGAACGTACAACACGATTAAAAAGTTTAATCACCTTGGGGCATTTTAATTATTTCTACTTAACAAAAGTAAAAAAAGAAAAAAAATGTTTTTATATACATATGTGTAAGATTTTGTGAAACATATTAAAAATAATCGTAAATAAGAAAGATTTTCAAGAAATTCAATAATATTATATTAATAAAGTTAACAATACTAACAAGCACAGAAAAATAAAAATGTTAATCACCAGACCAGATATTAACGAAAAATTGAACAAAACTTTATTTAACAGAACATTAACGAATATAATAATGTGAACTCTCTATTTCATTTTCAAGCAAATCTCCTTTAAACTCCCCACTTGCGAATCGTATTTTTTCTCTACGACATCTCGTCTTCTATCATTTTTTTTTCTGCTAATCTTATTGTCGCGATCAATTGTTTCTTAACATTACTCCTAACGCATATATCGCATGCAATAATGTCAACACGAATAAAAATAAAAATCTTACAATAATTGCGAAAACCATTTCTAATGACAAATATTCAAATACATACATATATCTATATACATACTCAATTCATTTTTATCCTGATAACAATGACATCACGTTCTATATTTTTCTAGATACTCAATCACGTTGACAGTTCGTTGATGAAGTAAAGGGGTTAAGCGTTATGCGTCCTACTGGAAGTGATTCGAATGAATGTCCACGAAATCGTAGGCTTCAATCACGATCCCTAAGGAGCTGTCCGATGAAAGGGAAGAATTTAGCGCGTCGTAGAATGTCCTTCAGGATTCGACGATCAATTTTAATTCCAAGAGAAAGTCTCGTTAGGATTCGATGACTAATCTAGCAAATGACTTTATTTCCAATAGATCCCTTATCAAATATTTTCCTCACTATTTTGGGGGATCGTAATCCTCTTGAATCTAATTTCTTATCAAATCGATAGTTAAATAATAATAACTTTACCATACATTTTATTACCAACATACAAATGATCATTTATTGTAAGATCATTTTCAAACTTGTCTCGGATAGAAAATTGGTCATGTTCATTTGTTTGGTAGAGTTGTTTGATCGATTTAAATCTCAATGAATATAATCTTAAATAAGTCAAATAATGAGCGGTACGTAAAAGCACACGTGGAAGAGAGACACACATTGAAGAAGGATAGGCCCGATAATATATAATATAATTATTGCGCGGGCGCGGGTGCAGGCTTGGGTCAATAGCCGAGTATGTTGCTTGGTGACGCTCTTGCTCGGTGACGCTCTCAGTTGGTTGTCTCTCGAACAAAACTCTCTTCCTCTTTCGACTATTCTCGCGCTCGGTACGCGCGCGCGAAAGAAGCGAACCCAAAAATATATTTGACTAACTGAAAAACAAGACTAAGTTTTCTACACCGGTCTTTCAACTCCCTTTCTTTCCTTTTATAAGATCATCTCGAAAGGTGTGTGCGCTGATAGCACCCGAGTGATCACGCGAAAGATCAACCTCTTCACCCCTGATTCTTTTCTTCTCTTCGCGAGCACGTGTTAATGGACATTCTACCTGAATATTCAGTAAGTAACCAACAAACTCTTCTTTGTCTCGTAGTTTATTTTACTTTCCAAAGAGGAGACTCGATTTTCATCTCGAGCACGTATTCTTGTTTACTACGCCGCGTTCCAATAATTATTTCACATGTATCTAATCGCGTTGCTATTAATTCCTCTTCGACTCGTACGGTGCGATACGTTCCATCACTAAATTCGATTGACGTTTCTTGAACTTGATACTAAAGCCAAAGGTGATCTCATTTTTGACTAATCAGATTTATTCATTTTACTTATTTTATATTATCTAGACAAATGTTCTTTTTTTTTGTTATTGTATAAAGCACAAATTTTCCATTCGATTAGAGTTTCCAAGAATAACGGTAATATGAGACTGACTAAATCGGAATCTTCAATTTGTGATCAAACTATTATCGAAGACAATGAGAAAACATTGGAAATGAAGAAATTAGGAAGCAAATCTAAACGTTCGTCTTATGAAAAATTCGAAGACGTATGCGGCTTTAAATTCGTCGAATTATGCAGTTTTCCAAATTTCGTAAAACTTCTCTATCGGCCGACGGATCCAGCGAGTTTGGGTGTAACGAGAGCACTTTTCGGTAAGTTATGTTATTATACCTGTGTGCGCGAAAAGAAAAACAATGAATTTTGTTCACAATATCAAATCATCGCGAATAGGTTTGTGTATGATAGTGGACGTTGTCGAAGAAAGAGGATTGGCGGATGTCGATATAAAATGGGGAGATTCATGGGATTGTCATTTCCCATTGATTCACGGAATGACGCCTCTTACGTTACCTTGGATGATAGTAATTTACGGTGTAATGTGGTTAGGTGCTTTTGGGATCATGCTTGGTCTTCAATTCAAACTATCTTGTGCTTGTTTTATCATTCCTTACTGGTACATATTTCTATTAGATAAAAGTTATTGGAATAATCACACGTATCTTTATGGTATCGTGGCGACTCTTTTCTGGTCTACCGAAGCAAACAAGTACTTGTAAGTACAACGCCTGATTAATTATTATTATCTCCTTCGATGATTAAAAAATGACACTTCTATTATCGCACAGTGCTTTCGATGCCATTCATGATAAAAAAGTAAACAAAACTGTGCCACTGTGGAATTATTTTATACTGAGATTTCAATTTTTCACTTTATACTTCTTGGCTGGTTTGAAGAAATCCAGTAAAGAATGGCTCGATGGATATTCCATGACGAATCTTTCAAGACACTGGGTTTTCGATCCATTCAAGTAAATCTCATCATTGAACCAAAAATCCTTATGATTTTATACACATAAATGACACTTCATTTTTATAGAATTGTCCTGACGACTGAAGAAACAGATTTCTTTATAGTTCATTGGTTTGCTTTTATATTTGACTTAACTGTTGGATTTTGGATGTTATTCGATAAAACTCGACTACCTGCGATGATATTCTGTACGGCCTTCCACTTAATGAATTCGAGACTATTTAGTATAGGTAACGAATTTTTTTTCGCTATATTTATCTTCGTGTTCTTTCATTTTTTTACCTTTCCTTTTTTCAGGTATGTTTCCATACGTATGCCTAGTAACAATGCCTCTTTTTTGTAATTTCGATTGGCCACGAACTTTTTACTCTTGGATCATGTTTAAACGAAACATCACAATTTCCAAATCTATGATTATCATGAAAAATTGTTTCGAAAATCCAGTTAAAAAACTGATGAATAAAGAAACGAATGGGATTACGGATCTAAACGAATACGATTTGCAAAAATCTATCACGGACGAAACTAAACATTGCGAGTCGTCTGAAAAGATAAAAACTATCGATGATTCAAAAATGAACAATATTAAGGAAGAAAAAGTAACGAAAAAACAACGATTCATCGTATCCATGCTATTACTTCATATTGGCTTACAATTATTTTTACCATACTCGCATTTCATTACTAAAGTAAAAATTAAAACTATAATTTAAAATAAAATAAAAACAATTATGAAAAGTGTTTAAAAAATTCCTTCCAAAGTGAAAATAATTAAATAAATTATTATTCCAGGGCTACAACAATTGGGTCCCAGGTTTGTACGGTTATTCCTGGGATATGATGATTCATACTTGGGATACAATATTAGTTGTAATCCGTGTTCATGATAACGAGAATAACGAAGATCGTTTTCTCGATCCTGATACGTGGGTGCAAAGTGATCGATGGGTGAAACATGGTGACATGGCCAGACAATATGCTTTTTGCATAAAGGTTCTAATGTTATTTAAATAATCTAGTCATATTATTTCTTATCTCAGTAAATCAGCTTCTACGGGTTTATAAACTTTATCTAACAATCTTACTACTGTTTCTCATTAAAAATCTATTTCAACAGGAATATAAATTTGTCACATATTTTTTCTAACTTATATTAATTAATTATGTGTACAAATTTGCTTCGCCATTTTTAACGCCGTTTCAAACGTTTAAGACGTTGTAACGTTCATTTTTGCAGAATAATATATTGCGAAAAAAAGAAGAAGCTCTGAGTAGCGATCCTATACATAAAGAAAGAGAAAAGTGGACTCAATTTTCATCGAATTTAAGCATCTACATCGATGCATGGTGTTCCTTGAACGGAAGATTTCAACAAAGAATATTTGATCCAAACGTTGACATGTTGACAGTCAATTGGCATCCTTTTAAACATGTTTCTTTTGTTATGCCTCTTCTAACGCAATACAATTCTTATAGGTAATTTAAACATTTAGTATTAAATTAATCTTTATATTAATATTTTATTATTACTATAATAATTGACTTTGCTTTTAATACTTTGCAGATATAAAATGAACGACATTCAAAAAGACGTATACAGTTGGTCGAACTATACCGACGTTCTATTTGTAGCAGATTTCCCGAGTAGGTCCTTGGAAAATTACATTGGCAGTGATTTCACGAACGTGTCGTTGATGATACTTGAAGGTAAAGTTGCGTATAACGAAGAAGATCAAATGGAAAGTGTAATTTTACACAAAGGATCATCGATAGATGTAAAAACTGAAAAATTTCATAAAATTCAAACGATTAGTCCTTATCCAGCCTGTTACATGTATACGTATACTAATCAAACAAAACAAATATTAGATCTAGAAAGGTTTGTTATCAATATGCTACTGATATTTTATGTTAAATAAAGATTGAATTGCAAGAATGATTTTCATTATTTCAGGAAAATTCAAGACACTAATACTAAGAAACCATTCTTACTCATGCAGGAAGTAAATTATAAAATAGATTCCTGGGCAAGGGCATTGAGTCACCTAGGAAATGCCTTTTTCAATCTTGTTTACGACGTTCCTATGATACGAAGAATACGCATTAAACGAGAAGCCTAAAAATACAAACTTAAAGAAACGTAATCTCAGATTAAATCAATTTATATATCTAATGTTAAATCATACAAATATTTATTTTAGGTAAATAACTCACTATTATCGGTCTAAAATTTGAGAGACCTATTTTTATACATTTACAGTCTTACATATTTATACTCTATTTTATATTAATTAATTAATACAGATTTAATAATTTATCATTTTTAAAGTACTCTATTTTTTAATTATTGTTAAAAGAATTTTAATAAGAATAACACTACATAATAATGCTACTGCTCAGACCGTGACGTGTTCTTTTTATTATTCATTACCAATAAACGAAATTAGCGGGAACTACATTACCGATAATTTTACATTGTCGGCATATTATCTTTCATTATTGTTTTTTTTTTGTATACAGATGCAATATATAATATTTCATAAGGTAATAGAGAAAGAAAAAAATTATTTAACAGATTAATATATATATATTACTACAGAAATGAAAGATAACGTATACATATGTTATATATGTATACACAAATATAATATATCTTTTATTTATGAAATATTTATGAATTATTTATTTATAAATTTTATGTAATATATTATGAAAAATGGTGAATATTTATTATGACTATTGTAAATGATATTGAAACTGAAAATATATTATACTATAAATCATTATAATTCATAATTATACTTTCTTATTCATACACCGCCTATCTATAAATTATTTTTAAATGATCACTTAGGCCGTGAAACACTTCCTATTGGCTTAAATTTACTTGGTTTATTTCAATTCTTTATCTTAGTCCACTTATCTTATATACTATTAAATGTTATCAGATCGTTGCCAGTAGACTATAAACTGAAGGTTCATTGTGCATTCCCAACAACACTCTCAGTCTTGTTGTTCCTCTTTCGACGCATAAGTGTTTGACTAAGCTTAGATTGAAACACGTTTCTGTAAGTAATATAATCAAAGTAATATACCACTAAAATCTATAAGCGTTTTGTAATACAACAAAAATATCAAATTGGAAAGAAAAATATTCGTTAAAAATAATGTAATCTAAATACGTAGATCGTTTCAAAACAGCAAAAACACATCGTCACACTTATCTGTGATCTTTCTCTAATTTCTATTTCTGTTCATTTCAATTTCATGTAATCTAGGCCGACGCGTTAACGACTGATCGAAGTATCTTATAATTATAAACGAATTTGCACGATAAATTCAAACTCATTATTCAATAAATGAACAAAAAAAGAAGTTATAATTATCAATAAAATGTTTAATTAGACATATGCATTAAATCAGAAATTTTTTGAAAATCTCGACTTAAGAATTGCGAACCGATAAGATCTGAATCGTGTAAGTCTCATGTTTTAGCATAACATAAATGTATTTACAATAAAATAACGATTATATATTAAATTTCGAATATTTGTATCAATAAGAAAAAATTATTTTCTGCAAAAAAATACGTACTACGCAATTATGCATTCGAACGTGCTAAGAACATAATTGTATTATCATAATTTTTATCATTGACGTACGGAAATTACACTTCGCACCAGCATAATAAAAAAAAAAATAAAATTATGACAATACTTTATTAATTAAATATTTTCTATAAATTTTTATCACTTCCACGTATTTTTATGAATAATTCGAAAGAATTTTTAAATTCCTACTTAACCTTGTGGAGAGATACTAACTTCAATAATATATGTTTCCGGTGATTATACAGAACGAACTCTATTATTACAGAAGCGTTTAATAAACCGGTTATTCTACTCAGTATGTTTTAAGCGTCAACACCGAGTGACAATCTATAAACACAGTACATATTTTTCTTTATTTTTAAGACATAAAAATTATACTAATCATATATAAGCATAAAAAATAATACAAAAAAAGTCCATTTTCTCCTAAAATCAATTGAGGTAATTATAAGATAATACTACTTTGATAAAATAACGTATAGAAAATGTACTACTTTTTTTTCTTTACCTTTTGACTATGATAACTTTTTTTATTTTATTTTTTTCTTACATCGAAAGAAGAACGCAATTAATACATAAAATATTCATAGAAGATAGAATACTATCATAAAATATTCTTGGGAGTTTGCGATAATCTTTACAATTAAAATGAATAACAAATATAAAATTTTTAAATTTTTGTAACTTATAATTAGTCAAACATATGCGACTTACTTAACCAAATGACCATTGTTAAATTCATACGCGCGAAGGAATTTAATTGACAGCGAACATTACTACAAACGCAAAAATTATAAGCGTACATTAAAAACGTTTCAATAATATTGCATTATTTTCAGATAAAACATGGGAAAATTAGATTCATACCAAGTTAATCGAAAGGAACAGCTTTTGACTGCACTCAACAAACTCGGTGAAGGTTCCACTTTCCTTTACATGATTTTCATTTTAACGACGATACCAACAATTTTTAATGGAATGCATTCTATGGCTTATATTTTCATAGCCGAGGTAAATGTTTCCCATAGAGATAATATCTGTAAAATATAATGAAATATTAATCAAAATTATTTTCGTCGCAGATTCCTGTTCATTGGTGTTCCATATCAATTCTTACTTCAGCTAATTGGACTAATGATCAAATAAGAAATATTTCATCCGCCAGTCCTTGCACCCAATACGATTATGATTACGATCATTTTGCAAAAATAGGTTTTACAGAAGCTCTTAAGCATAAAAACGAAAATCCAACAGTAAAAATTACTGAATGCAAGGTTAGAAGTTTTGAACAAAACATAGAAGGTACTTCTCTCGTTGAAGATGTAAGTTCAAACATTCTTTAAATCGTTAACAAAGTATGGACAAGAATAATAATAATAATAATAATTCAAGTTTTGTGCTCGCTATAACCTTATAATTAATTGAAAGTAATAAAATGAAGGAAAAAAAAAACACAAATACGCTCTTTATAAATGAAGATATGATCCCAGTGGGACCTCGTGTGCGACAGACTAGCTGATAGATCCACCATCCAGATGATGTTCTCGCTTGGAAAACTCTTCGGAAGTGTATCGTCCGGTATTATTTCCGACAAGTTTGGTCGAAAATTTGTCTACAACATTGGCATTATTATGCTGATATTATCTGGTCCAATTAGTGCGATTGTACCTTGGTTCTGGTGCTTCCTAATCTTTAGATTCATAAATGGGATAAGCCATGCTGCTATATTGTATCCTTCCTTTACTCTCCGTAAGTTATTTTATCTTTATTTTTAAAGAACGATAACCGAACACAGAAATAATTGTTTTCGATTAAACTCACTTTTATTTAAAAAAAAAAAAAAGAAATTAATTTCTAAACTTTTCAATCCACCTTCGTATATATTTCTGACTAAAATTAATTATTAATATACTAAAAACTGATTAACAATATAGAAAAAAGTTTTTAACGTTATCTGTGTCAACACGTCCAGCTGTTGTCAATGTTAATTATTAACGAATTGGAACTAATCTTTATTATTGACATTTGAAATGCCTTGACTCTCGATAATGTAAATATCCATCAAGTTAATTTTAAATTGGAAATATGTTTAAATATTCATCGTAATTCTTGAAACAATATAATGCATATCACTCTCTTTCTATCTTTATACTATATACTTTCAATAAATTCATTATATAGTTACCGAAACAGCCGGAGAAAAACACAGACAATGGATGGGTGTAGCCTACAACGCTGGATATCCTATAGGAACAACAATTATGGCTTGCATAGCATACGTGCTATACGATTGGCGACACAAACAATTGGCATCAACATTGCCAGCTTTAATTTTGCTTCTTTTTATGTGGTAATGACAAATGACTTTTATTACTTGAAAAATGAATCTAAAATATTTTAATGTTTCTTGTAAGTTTTGATCGTCAGGCTAATGCCAGAATCACCGCGATGGCTTTTATCACAAAATCGACTTAAGGAAGCCCAGAAGGTGATCGAGAAATATTACCGACCTGTTAATGAAACAGCTGAAATAACTGAAATCTACTCTTCATCGATTTTGCAAAAACCCATATTGCAATCTCGACTGGAAGAAACGGAAAATCCAAAATCTAATTCCACTAGTCAAGGACATAGATTAAAGGAAAATATAAAAGGGCTGGTTATTGTTCTTTGTAACTATGAATTATTAAAAAGAGTCATGATCACCAATTTTGCATGGCTTACAGCCTCCCTCACCTATTATGCTTTAGGTAATACTAATTATTGATAATAGATAAAATCGTTAGAGTATAACATTATTCCAAGATTGTTTGTTTTATCGTATATGTCTTCATTTCAGCGTTAAACGTCGACAATTTCTCAGCTAATCGTTACCTTTACATTCTTGTGATGGGTATCACTGAAGTACCAGCTTATTTGATACCAACACCCATTTTGATATTCGCGGGACGAAAACAAGCTTGTAGTGTTATGTACTCATTAACGGCATTGCTTTTACTTAGTATTCTTGCAATATCAGCTAAGGAAACTCTGGCTATAATAATCGTTGCTCTAACAGCAAGATTTATATTATCTGCCGCCTATAGTATCATGATATTATATACTTCGGAATTGTTTCCTACGGTAAAGACAAAAATTAATGTTATATTAATGAAAATCTTCGAATATAAAGTAAAGAACCAGTTCTATTAATAATAATTGTTACCCATAGATTACAAGAAATTCAGCAGTAGGCAGCAGTTCAGCAATGTCCCACATTGGTAGCGTAGCATCTCCCTACGTTGCTGATTTATTAGGCACCATTGCTTGGTGGGCTCCAAGTACTTTATGTGGTTTCTGCGCTCTTTTATCTGGTTTACTTTCCATGATGCTACCGGAAACGCGTGGAAGACCATTGGCCGACACAGTAGACGAAGAAATCACGAAAGAACGTGGTGTCGTTGAATTAAAAAATTGTTTCACATGTAAAAGCTAACGAAACGATAATTTAACTTGATAATCTCTTTTAGTTAAAATAATTATTACCTACTACTACTATTATTAGAATAATTTGGAAGTCTTGATATAAATCTTATTTAATAAAATAAAAAAAATAAACATTTTTATTTATAATAAATTATAATTAATAAGGGATTATTAATTAAAAATTCAGTAACCCAAAACTATAGTAATTATTAGCATAATCATTGAGTAAATACTCCTGTTGAACTCACAAAAACATTAATGCTGTGAATTGTCTATTACTCGTATCTTTTAATGCAAGTAAAAACTAAACAATACTGAAATATTATGCTAAGAATGTTATAGACATTGATCAAACAAATTTTATTAATGCAAGCGTCAGTCCGGCCGTATACGTATAATATATAGCAATTTTTCTCAACTAAAATTTTTTTATTACGGACCAAATGAAATATTGAATAAGAAATTGGAAGAAAAAGAGCGGATGTTTTTATAATAAAATATAATTATTGTGGTGCTTGACAAATTTAGTATATATATTTTTAAAGAATGATAAAAAGAAATGTAGAATAATCAATAAAACTAAAAGTAGACCCACTAGCAAAATATTAAAATAATAAAAACGAAACTCTCTTAGAATTAAATTAAAGACAAAATAAATAAATAGTATGTAATAAATATAAAACAAATTTATAAGCTTTTTGTGCGGACCACTAAAATTTGTTTGCGGACCATCGGTTGAGAAACACTGATATATAAGATATGTATATGTTACCGTCATAGCCGGAAATCCGCCATTGCTAGTAATTCCTCGGCATTCTCATCAATGCAAAGAGCATTCCGATGAAGGCTCTCCACATTCATAGTAATTTCGAGGATTTACTAATAATGCCTGATTTCCGGCTATGACGGTAACATATATACATATAGTAATTTGACTTTTGTCTATACTACATTAAAATTATTTGAATTAATTTTGCAACGCATGAAGTGTTGTAATGTAACAAGAAGTTGTCCTTAATAACTGTAAGAAATATAATTATCAATATAATCCAATCTCTAATAAAATGTGTATATAGGATAAGGTTACTCAAGTCGTCCTACTGCCTAAATCTTATAATTAGAGAAACTTTTATACATATATTATTTATTTATATATAAAAAAATATGAGAAATATTTATTTTTGATATAAAATTTCGCAATAAATTGTTCATAAAAAAAAGTTTACTAAATAACGTGAACGTCCTTAGATTCTTTGTTCGCGCGCAATGTATGTATGCTAAAGCGAATCCGTATCAAACTAACGTACAAATTTTTTAAATCGAAATTATACGTTCGTCTTGTACGGAATCCCAACGATAGTAAATTAATACAGTGTGGGTGGTTTTGTAATAATACTAAAGGCAGTTCTTTAATCAACAATGTATTTTATTATTAATAAGTCTTTGCGACTATGATACTGTAAGGATTATTTTAGAAAATATTATTATTATAGTTTAGGATTATAAGAAATATCTGAACACTTTGACGTCCGAGCGTTTCGAAATTATTAAAGAAAAAGAGGAGACTCTCATATGAAAAACGTATTTGATACTGAACATCCTTATCTAGATAATGTTACTGTACAATGTGTCTCAGCTGAAAGAGGCCACCTAAATATTTTATTTGTTTTTAATGATATCAAAAATGCTTAAGACATACTCTGATTGATTTCAAAAGTAAGGTCGTTTTAGTTTCAATATTTTAGTATACCTGTATCATGACGTTCAAATGACCTCGAATACTAAAAATGTGATAAAATTATAAGGCTCGCGTTAGGTACGACTTAAACAACCTTGTCCTATTTACGTTGCTGTTATCGAATTTTTTTACCATTTCTAATAATTCAAACGACATAGGATATAAACTACCAGCAAGCAAAGTGGATTCCTTAAAGCTTCTTTGCAATACTATTATCATTGTAGCTTGTATCTTACTTGTAGAAGATCCCAAGAACCAAGGAATACCATATCTATATAACATACGTATATATATGTTTTTTTTTTTTTAATATTTATTAAGCCTGTCGAGTAAATCATTGAAAATGAAACTTACACTTTCTCCGAAATACTAGTACTATGATCGATAAGTTTCTGTCCACAATAAAATATACCGAAAAAATAACAAATGATATTAACGATACGAACAAAAGCATTAATTATACGAACAGAAGTATTCATGAGATTATAATTTTTATTCGGATTCGAAGCTTGTAGAATCTAAATAATAAAGCATATCATATTTTGTAAATATTAATTTTGTAAATATTAATAATGTAAATAATAATTATACCTTATATACTCACGTCAGTGCAATTCATAGTTAAAGATAGAACGCCCAAAATTAATAACCAGAAATAAGACGTTGCAAAACAGGAATTCATATGATCGACGAACCTTAAACGACCAAAAATTTCATGGTAAAAGTGTCGTTATTGAAAATAAAAAGAAATAAATTAAAATTAAAAAATTTTCTATTTTAAATAAAATGATTAGAAAGAATATATACGCGATAGCATTTTGATGCGATTGAATAGCACGGAGGACCCAGTCGTCAATATTTAAATTCATTTCCGTTAACGTAATAGAACTTAAAGTGCTTTGGTTGTAAATTCGCTCGAAACGATACCTAAAGAAGAAAGAAACGAAAAAAACAATTAATATCAAAATATACTACCCCCCAAATATATATATATCAATATTTAAGAGCACAAAATAGAAAAATTTTAATCTCCTCAATTTTACCCAACGATATGAAAAAGGCCACAGGCATGTTGCATACAGATAGTATAAAAAGTTTCAGTCGCAATAACAACCACCAATCCAACAAGAAAAATAGTATACATATGCAGTAAAATAGGATAAAAATAAACTTCCTCGTCTATGAAATATTCCGCCACAAACGGACTCTCCAATCGATGGGTTCCGTTTAATGGTACGACGATATCGTAAATGAACAAAAAACCTGTCCAAATCAGAAGTATGATAATCGTAGCACAGGATAGAACTGATAACAAAGAAAAAAATAAACATAAGAAAAAAAATTATCACTAAAACCGAATATTTATAAATTAACAAACAAGCAAATTTGAATTTCATACCCAGGCATACGAAAGTAAACTTTTTTCCCTGTTGCGTATATTTTTCCATGATTTCGAGTTCCTTCTCATCGATCAATAAATGCCAATTACGTTGAATTTGTATAATCAGACATTTTAACTATATGAAACACGAAAAAAAGGTAAAACCAAATTCTCAAGATAATTCATAAAAATGAATATATTCATGATCGTGAAAATATTTATTTACGTTTTCAAGTTGTAACAAATAAAAACCATACTTCCCCAGATATATTAAACAAATAAACACATAAGAACAAATGTTTACAAAAAGATCGAGCGTAAGTTCGGAAGTAAAGAATTTGAATAACTGAAAAGAGACATATTAAAATGATAAATGAATCATCTAATATACCTCACTAATCTTTATCGTTTAAAAATTTAAATTCTACCTGAACAAGTACGGATGAAATAAGAATGGAATAGACAATGAATCTTATTATTTTTTGTATGACAAAATTTAAAAATGATTTGTTAGTCATTGGCCAGGAACCAATAATTAACAAAAGATATCGATTAACATTGTAATAACGTAAGATTAGAACGTCCATTTTCTTTAAGAATAAACTAAAAACGATCTAAAGCAAACGACAACAAGTTACGCACTGATGACGTATATGTACGTACTTTTTCCATCCCATAACTTTTGTTTTCGGCGTCATATGGCTAATTCTAGATAATATCGCAATATGGCAAACTACGGAAAATTTGATGTAATATTCATACACACTTATTACGATAAGTAAGCTATTTTCTCCATTTGAAAAAATAGTTTACACATAAACACCTATTGTATTCGATATGATTACGTATAATAATACATGCAAACTGGAAACACAATAAAAAGTTGTTACTAAAACTTCTGTACTGTTTCCCATGATAACTTTCTCTAACATATTCTTATATACGATATTCAGTTAAATTACAACTAACTTATTTTGAATTCTTTACTTGGACACGTACGACATACAATTTTGCAAACTTTTAAATTCGTTCCATGTAATATCATTTGAAGCTATTTTTGAAACAAAAAGACCAATTATTTTCGATAAGAAATAATATCATATATATTTTACATAATCTTATAAATACAGAGCGTCTCTCAGCTAAATAATATTCTCTCAGAACTTTTATCAGATACTCCGTTAAATATTAAACAATGTATGACTTGAACTTAAATTATTCAATAAATTAACGAATTCAACAATTGTTACAAAATGTCGAAGATACATTTTGATCTATACATGACAATTTCAAATATAATTCGATTTAATTCGGTAATTTAATTTTATCGAACGTTATCCAATGAGCGAACGTCAAATTAATCGAAAGCGCCATCTCGTAACAAGTAACATTTTTTAATTTCGTACGAAGCGCCATCTGCTGGTTGCAATAAATAATAAGATACAAAAACGAGTCGATAATATTTAAATATTATCGTTTCCCAAATATCATTAAGTCTGCATCTATACTTCCATTTGCTTTGGTCAAATTTGTAAACAATGGCTTGTACTCGAAATCAAATTTTAAATCTTTATCGAAATTTAATACGAGAAAGTAAAAAATGGAATACATATAACTTTAGGTAATTAATTATTGTTATCATGATGTATAAATTTTCTTTCAATATCACTTTCTCCAATTTTCTGTAATAAATCAATGATTTGATTACAATTAACTTGTTCCTAATAGAAATACTAATATTAATTATTATTAATATGAGTATTTTATTTTACTAAATTATTTTATTACTATTTTTATGAAATATATATTTGTATGAAATCATATAAATTTAACTTCTCATTTTCTTTTTTATTAGATTGATTAATATATACAGGGTGCTTAGTTTTTTTCTATTAAATTTTACCAAGATATTCTATGAGTAAAAATAAAAAAAGAATGTTAATAAATATGGACTTTAAAATTTGATTAAAAAGTTATAACCAAAAAAAGAAATGACAATGGACTGTTTTTTTGTACGGTACCATATAGGAATAGATTGTCCATTCAAATTATAATTCTATTTTAAAATGTTGTCTGTTATGAATGCAGGATTGATATCTGAGAAGAATAGAATTTATTGCATTACTAATTTTTTGTTTTAATTTTCCTTAATTGCATCAAATATGTCATGAATCCTTTGCATTAATTCCTAAAGCATATAAATTTTTTCTTTTACGGTTTTCCACAAGTAAAAATCCGTTGGTGTGATATCTGATAATCTTGAAGAGTCAAGGAATTGTCCTTCTCAATTTATCCATTGTTGAGAGTAATGGTCATTTAATCATTGCTGACTTTGCTAACAATAAAAGGGAAAAATTTTGTTGAAAAAAAAAATTAGAACACCTTGTATATTAAAAGTTAACATTATTTCTAAAATTTTTCATTTAAGTTATTTTTCTTAAGTTGATAATATTTTAACTTATTTACTTTTATATGTAGGATGTATGCTCTTCGCAAAGTAAGACACGAGTTCCAACAGAACAAAACATTACAAGATAAAATAGAAATCGAACAATTTTATCAAAAAGGTCAAGAGGCATTAGAAGTAATTAAACGACAAGTAATAATAGGAAACTTATATAGTACAAGACCATTGATAATAGAAACAAATACTTCATCTAAAAGTAAATATAATAATAAATTAGTATAATATTACGCATTTTCTTATAGAAGTATGTTAAATTTATAATATGATTCAAATTGAATATTTTGTGCTGTAACTATTATATAAATATTTTATGTTACAAATGATTTTTTGTAATGTTTGAGATTTTTTAAACTTATACATACATATATATACATCATTAGTAATGCAATTACATGTGATAGTAAATATAATATAATTGCACATCATTTGTAATTCAAAACTAAAATGTAATTAAAATTATGCACATATAAACATACATATATAGAATATTATAGATTATGTTAAATGTAGCTGTATGGAACAGGATGTTACAAACAATTTTAAAATGTATCATTAATGTTAATCAATAAAAAATTCATTAAAATAATCATTATGACTATATGTATTTATATATTAAATATATTTATTATATATAATATTAATCTTTTTTTACCTTTTACAAATTTTCCAATTATTATAAAGTAAACAAATATATTTGCGGATTATCTCATTTTGAAATATACCTATATGATAATATCAATACGTCACCAGAATCAGCTGTTCCATGATGACAGTCAACTGTTGGATCGCAACGAAATGGTTTTTCTCTTTGGCTGAAAAAAATATGAATTAGTAAAACTTGTACATATAAATAAGTAATCGAATTTGAAAATTAAACAATTATGGCTACGAGAAATTTAACGGAACCTTTTATTTTAATGAGAAATAATGCTCTTCAGAGCAAACATATTTATGCCGAGCAGGTATTTGTACATAACCTTTATCTAAGAATATTACATTTAATATGTTTTCTTAATAATAACTAATATATATTATTTCAGAATTTATCAGATAGGACAGCTCTAGTTAATTTGGATTCTATACATGCTGATAATGTTGAATTAACGAATATTAATTTGAGTGATTCAACTCCACCGGTTTGGACAGATGCACTAGAAGAAACACAATATATCCTTAGTAGATTAAGAATTAAAATAGATAGTTTAATTGAATTACATGCTAAACAATTAACTAGACCAACTCTAGATGACACATCACAGGTGAGCTACTTTTTCAATCGAGTCGTTCACAGGCAAAAGTGATTAGCTCTATATAAAGAATTTCTTTAAATTTGAATGCAAAAGCGCTCGATGCTTTGTTTTTTTTGTATAAGAAATCAATTTTCTTAATAATTAGGTTAAACAACATTAAATAATAAAAATTAGTATGTCCATTTATGATACGACAATATATATAATTTCATTTTATGAAGTTCATCGATTTGGTAAATTTGTGACTTAATTATGGATTGATTTAAATTGATCTTCAATTTTGTTTTATACCCATTAAATTATAGAAGATACTTGTTATAGGAAGAAAGACAGATGGAAAAACTATCTCGTGAGATAGGACGTACATTTGCCAATGGCTATCGTCAAGTACAAACCATAAAAACTGCGGCAAGACAGGAAACAAAATCTGCTCAACGGCATCTCGCTGTAAATGCAGTAATGGCGCTTTCTTCTGCCTTGCAAGAATTAGGAATACGTTATAGATCTGCTCAAAATCATTATTTAACACGTATGATATTTGTATACATGTAAAAAAGAACCCATTATTTATTATAATCTTATAATAATAATAATTTAATATAGAGCAATTACTAAATAATTATTTCAGAAATTAAGTCTAGAGAAGAAAGAAGTAATCAATTCTTTAGCGAAGATATGGCATCTGCTTCCTGGTTAATGGAATCTAATGATTCTAAAATTGATTACTGGGAAGAAGATGAACAACGACAAGAATCTGTTCTCCTACACTTGGAAGATCCAGAGGAAAGGTTAAAAGTAGCTGTAGAAAGAGAACAGCAAATTGGAAACATAGTTCAAAGTATTGCAGACCTAAAATATATATTTAAGGTAAATGACATTATTATAAATGGAGTACACTTATATCAAGTCTTTTTTTATCGTTAAAATAAAATAATCTGGATATTCAATATTATTACTACATATACTGTTTTTTAATATATCTATTTTTATACAAGGAACACATGCTAATAGAAATTGATATAATTATTTATATTATTATATTAATACTTATTTTGTATATATTTCTTTATAATAAATTATACATGATTTTAAAGTAGAATATAGTAATCAACGTCTTATCATAAGTCTTTATCAATATAGCTAACATAAAGATAAGACAAAAGAACTACTACCGCGTGAACTGAAATATATTTTCTAAGAAAATCGTATGTTTATAGTATATGTTTCAAATGTATTTTAAAAATTAATTAATTCTATTCTGATACAAACAGGATCTGGCAAATATGGTACAGGACCAAGGTACTGTTTTAGATCGGATTGATTACAATATTGAACAGACACAAGTACAAGTATCCGAAGGTTACAAACAATTAAAAAAGGCTGATTCCTATCAAAAAGCTAATAGAAAACTTTATTGTATAGTTATTTTGGCATCTGCTATTATTTTACTTCTTTTTCTATTCGTTGTATTCAAAACATAAACTATAGTGTTCACGCACACATATAAAATTTCATTAGTATTAAATAACTCATTGTTATTTATTAACATGTTTTCCAATTTAAGTGCTTATATGTAAAAAATGTGTAAAAATGGTTAAAGTGATACATAATCATAAAAAAAAGTATCTCCCATAGGATTCAAAGAATATTTTTTAACATAATATATAAACCTATGTAAAACAGTTATTACAAAATAATGAATTACTAAAAAATAATCCTAACTGTGAATATTGATAATAATGCTTACAATGGCCTTTAAAAAAAATATTAATGTATGTCACAGTATATTGATATATTTTCATTCACACAATACATAAATGGCCGAAATATTTGAGAATAATACCAATTTTATATATATTAGGTCTACCGGAAAGTTCTGTTCGATAATGTCATCTCAAGTTTCAACACATACGAACGTGTTCGTTTGAAGCATATATGGCTGCCTTTTTTCACTACTGTAAATGGTAAAAAGGTCATTAGTAACAATAGAAATAATATTGCTGAATTAATATTTTCTCTTTTTATATTTTCTCCTAATTGAGAAATGGACAGAACTTTTCGAAAGTATATAACAAAACTAAAAATAATGTTCTGGAATTATACTAATTCAATCCTATAGATATATATAATTATAGTTTCACCTTGAAAATTCAAATAATTTTATTATGTTACTGTCATTCCACACACACACACACACACATACACACAGAGAATACAATTAAAAAATATAATAAATATTTATTTATTATATGTGTATATTTTATGTACATTTGACATGTTGTACAGGTATTCTTATCAAATAAGAAATAATATTACCATGTATTTGCCCATTATTCAATTATCAAATGCATTTTTATTTAATTTTATCGGTGAATTTTATTTGAGATATTAAAATTGTATATCCTTGATAGGAACTTTACTAATATTAATTACAGAGAACTCATATACATTTTTGTTATATATTTCGCAAATTTCATTGAAATTCTAAATATTCTCATATAAATATATGCTGGAATATGTATATATTGTATGTATTTCAAAGAAATCTGTTGTCATTACAATAAATGACGAAAAATATTTCATTAAATTATCGTATAAATAATTTATTATTGTTAAATATGAATAAATGAACTATTCTCATAGCCCTTTATTTGATTTAAAATTTCGTAGAAAAAAAATCAAATACGGTAATCTAAATCATATAATGACCGAAAATAATATTCCTTGTTACAAAATTCAAATAAAGATTGTTTTGCTAATTTTAAATATATAATATATACGAATATATATTGTAGTACGCCTCATTATAAAGACATAGGATAGCATGACAAAAAATGTTGACCCATAAAGGGAATATAGATTATCTGACCAAAAAAGTAAACTACTGGTACAAAATTCACAAGAGTATTCACATTATTACCTCGGCATGATACCTTATTTACTTGTAAAATGCTATCTACATTTATACACCAACACTGTATGTATACAATTAGTATACAAAATGAATGTACACAATTACAGTGCATATAATCGTACGTATACTATATTAATATATACAACAAGTGTGTTTTTAAGTATATACTTCAAGTGCATTTCACATCTAAAAATTATTTATATGCACAATATCTATGATTTCGTAAATATGTTATTTATCTCTCTTTATAATATTTTACATTTGATCGAGAACTTTCAAACAAAACTAGTAGAGATCTATGTTTCATCTTTATGTACATATATTTTGTTCACGTATAAAGTGCAAAATACGTACGCATATGTTATATACATTACTTCGTACAAAAATGTTAATATTGCAGTAGTATTTATGTTCCTTTTTTTGTAGTCATTATGAATAATATTTATAGGATATCTTAAAATTAGCAGATGTTCGTAAAGCTCTTATACATCACATAGTCTAAATATAAAAATAAATTTTTTAAATATTTACAAACTCGTGGAGAGATATAAATGCAATTATTCGATAAAAAAAAAACAGTGGTAGAATTCTAGCAAAAAATTAAATAAATACATTCCGTCAAGGTGATGACGGATAATTAAAAAAAAAATAGATACGAAATTTGTATCTCACGAAGAAAGATTTAGAATATGTGCAAGAATGCCAAATGCACCACCCAGAATAAAACGAACAAAATTATCACCCACTAAAGGCCCCAAGGCATAAAGTCCCTTTTTAGGTGCTTGCAAAACTTCATATGTAATATCGTCGACGTCGATCGGATTTGATTTACAATCAACGGGTCTATCGGGTATTTTTCCAAATCCTATACCGTTGTTTTCTAGATACGATAAATCTGGTTTGTAACCTATGACAAAAGAACATTATCACTACTTTGTTAATAACGAGGATCACAAATAATTTATAGATATCCTACCCTTCGTACATGTTCGTTCATTTAAATATAGATTACTACTTTTTACCTACTATATATAAATAATATAATCAATATAAAAATATAACTTACCTATAAGTATCGCGACTATAGAAACCCGGAATTTCTGCAATTGTCCATTCGGAGCACAAAGTGTGACTGTATGCTTATTACATTGATTACTATTACGATCATCATTATTGATATTAAGATCTGCAAGACTATATCCTGATAATGATTTGTAAAGAGGATAATTCGTACCGCCATCTGCCATCATCTCATAAACTTTGTGATATTCCGGATAAATAGAACTTGGAAGCCATTGTAATTTATCCAAATTATTAGTTTGTATTTTATCATTCGATTCCTTATTCCAATCGTTAGATGCATCCCGAAATACATGTAATACTGGAATTCCTCGAAATCGTGTAGCCATAATAGCATCGGCTGCACTTAATCCAGCACCTATCACTAGTACAGGATCCAATAATCCATCAAATGCAGCCTCACCTACAGTAAAACGATCAAATGTGATAAAAATGTATGCAAACAAATAAAAAATTTAAAAACTAAGTGAATTGAACGAAAACAATCACCTACCATATACGTTTACAAGTTGATCTAAACGTGATTCTAGATCATTAAGATCATGAATCACCCATGAGGATTGCGATCTTTCTCCAGGTATTCCCAAATGATTGGATAAATCTGTAGTACCAGTGGCAAGAACTACCCTTCGACATCTATACTCAAAACGTTTACCAGTCTTATTTGCATATCCTTCAACGATCCATCTAAAATCTTCATTGACATCAATGGTATCGATCGGTCGTACCGAAGTTACAATGGTCCCACATCGGAAATATTTGTCCAATCCTTGTTTGATAACGTAATCTCTGTAATAAGTAGCAACAGTACCTACTGGTACACGACTGGCAGGTTTACATGCATTTATTTTTTCTCTTGGTGAATGAGAACTAGGATCACCGATCGCCAATGTTGATTTTTGTACTTGTTCAGCCTCTACTAATTTTTCCCATTGTCTTAAATCTAAACCAGGTAATGACATCCATCGACTCAAACTGATCGTTAACACATTTGGATCCATAGACTAGAAAAACAAAATCATTTCTGGAATACGTTCAATAATTCTAACAAAATAATTTCAACCTAAACTAATCTATTGAATGAATACTTTCTCAAATACCTGCCAAGCTCCACCAGGTTGACCTTTACCAAGAACTACATGATCAATAATCTTGTGTTCCGGATGTTGTTCTTTAGACTTCCAATCCAAAAGTGAAGGCACATCGAGACCTGCATCAACGCATGGGTTCTGCAATTGGTCCATTAGTAAAGACAAAGGTCGACCACCGCTCCTGCCCTCGAGACCAGACGACAACGTTTCCAATTTCCATCGTGAACTGTGCGCTAAGTCTCTACCTCGTATTACACCATCATTCGCAACGTTAGATTGTCGACGAGAACACGTGTCCTCATCTAAATTATTCTGTGCCGTCTTGTCACTTTTCTCGAGAATATCCTCGTCATTGGTAAACGGTCTCGTTGTGTAGTGAAGACGCGCCGTCAGCATTTCATCGAAGGGATGAGGCTCGCCGGTATAATAAGGCCAATTACCAGCGAGCATATATGACAAAGAAATACCGCTTGGTCCATTTCCTACGAAATATAGTCTTAGTTTTACTTATAACATTATATATAATTTATTTCTTAAAAGACTCCTATATAGACAAAATAATCGCTCATTTTTATATTATATATAGTCACTAGTCTTACCGCTTTTTGTTCATTTCCTACGAAGTATAGTCAATGTAATTTACCAATCCCTAATGTCTAGTGAAAAACATCGATCGATGAAATCAATCATTTTTCATAGCTAACATTTTGTCTACAGCCTTACCTACGATGACTATGTCCTTGTAGACGACGTCGTTATCATCGTCATCGCAATTATTTTGCATTCTTTCTCTTGGTACAAGTTGGTTGGCCGTAAAAATGAATGTTCAGTATTGCGGTCTAGATAATAATCTGAAACGTAATAACGCTACGTTAGAATTGTCATTACGAAATAATTTATCGTTTAAAGATACATAATTATTATGTGCATTCATATCAATCGAGATAATTATTTGAATGACAATGAAATACAAAAAGAAAAATAGAGAGAAAGAGAGGATGAGAAAGACAATGGATTAAAGCTGTTTGTGATTTTGTTTAATCATTCTATGATGATGCATAAATGAGAAATGATTGCAATGACGTAACACGTCTTGTCGTCCATAATTAACGTGCTGGTTAGACGAAACTATACATTACAAAATAGCCACAACTACATAGTAGATATGACGCGCTTTTATCATATTTTGTTATTATTTGCTCTTTTCATGTTTCATTATCTTTTTCATTTTATTTTTCTCTTTTACAGAATTCTAGAACTTATGTATTCGGTAATTTTCCATTCTTATTATTAGGCAAAGGGGGAATATCTTACAGGAACAATTTATCAAAGTATTGAGATAAGGAGAAAATAAATCTCATTAAATATTCCACTTATTTTTTATACTAACAAGTGAAAAAATTAAATTGATATTATTTGACTCTTACTGTTAGACAACTTTTTCACTCCCTGACCAAACAGTAACCAAGTGTACAGTTGTTAGAGTGACAACTTTCCTTTAGAAATAATCTTTATCGGTTTCTTCTATTTCCTAAGCTTCTAATACGATTCGATCGCATGAGATTACGATGGCATTGATCGATCTGACCTTTTGATTAATACATAAGTCATACCTTTCAATATAAAAAAGAAGAAAAAATAAATCAGTCATGTACCTCGAAAAAATAAATCGAGTTATATGTTACCTAAGAACATAATTTATATATTATCTAATTCTAATTCAGATATCCGATTTTGATCATTGATCTCTCAATTAATATCATTTAAATAATCGTAAATTCGTCAATGTGAAAAGGAAAGTGAACGAAGAAGAATTTGTATGCAAAGTAGAAAAAAAAGAAAACAAATATTTCACGCGAATAACCAAACGTACCATATAAATTCGTACTATTAATAAATTTTTATATGATTTCCTAATAGCAAGATAATTAGAACACAATAGCTTAAATTTTATTTTTATATTATCCGAAACGATTTGGTTCGAGGTCAACAGGGTCATGACTCATTTAATATATCGACGTCTAATGGTAAGATTTTTTTACGCAATTCTAATGCAACGGAAAAATATTAAACGGAATGGTTATATAAAAACAAAAACTAAATAAAACATTTTATAAATAAGTCGATCGATTAACATCAATGAAATTTTTTATCGTGAAAATGTTTAATTTAATTTAAACGTTACGGAAAAAAAGGTAAATATCAACTTTTATATTTTTCCACACTATTCTATAATGTTTCTTCCTATAATGGAAAATTTTTGTGTATAAAAGTAATTATAACATTTATCACTCTTATCGTTCCATTATATTTTTATTATGGTAAAAAGAATCTAAATAGGACTAATAGGATACAGATAGGATAGAGATAATAGGATAGAGTTTAATAGGACACGTTATGCCTTATTTTTTATTATTTTGTCCTTATTTCGTTGTTTCGTTTTATCAAAGTTTTCAAGTTTTCATCGAACGACGGAATAAAATGAATTTATTTCTCTTTCATCTCTTTATTAATTGTTCACTTGGTTTTAAGAGAAAAGAAAATAAAACAAATATTTAAAACGTTATCGAATGAGCGTAAAATAAATTATCGTTTATGAAAGTTTCACGCAAATAGAACGGACATATATGTTTCCACGTGATTAATTGATCCAAAATAAATGCTTTATGGGTGATTCGATTAAAACGAAGGTTAAAAAAAGAACAGAAATTTCTATGCAAGTTGCATGGTCGTTTCTTTCGATAAATTTACATAGCTAGGACACGAAGCTCACTCAACTTTAACTGAAGCGCTACTGTACAAGAGATTAATTACAACAAAATTTGCATAAATTAGCATAACGTTACATTCGTATTACTCATGTTTATTACATATATTCTGCACTAGCACATACTTGATATAATGAATTAACCCTTTAAATAGTTACAAACGTATACGCATTTACGTCATTTTAGCTTTCCTATTTTAAATATCAAAGAACAAACATTCATAATGAATTTAACATAGAATACTACCGAGAATTTATAACTGCTCCTCTTCATATTTTGATAACTGATGTTTGATCAGAAAGTTTCTTGTTACACATAGGGAGGGGATATGTAGTTCCTAATTCAATGACATTATCAAAGTTAGTTACTAAGCGAATTATGAAAATTAACTAAGCTGAAGTAATGTACATATCGTATGTAACGTATATACAGTATGGTATATATCGTATATACCATCCTACTCGCGGACGTATCGGGTGACAAATTAACCCTTTAAACAATTATGAATCTATTTACGTATTTACGTCATCTTAGCTGATTTGCTTTAATATCAAAGAATATATATTCAGGAATTTTACGCCGAATTAAAACCAATGTAAATTTAAGTCATGTCATTTAATAATTATTTACAATAATCAATTACTTTTTAACACGCGATGAATAAGAAAATTAGATAAATTTATTGTGTTCAAAAGTAACGTAGCAACAAATATAAAGTAACTTTACGTAACTTTCGAAGTAACCAATTTTAATGGATAACAAGAATAAATGCGAGGAAGAGACTAGGAAGAAAGAAGATCGATGAAGCGAATAAACCTATAGACTTTTAAAATGTCCCTTCGATATTATGATGCACAGGTGAATGTAAAGACTGTGGTGCTGCATAGCCTCATTCCTCACGATCCTAACATATAAATAGCAACGTTCGTGTCGACGGTAATATTTTAATCGAAATCCATTTCTCTACAACGATCTGCTCATTTTTTATTCGCGTCCTAATGAGAGTACTACTTATTAACTTAAGTCACCCACTTAAATATTACGCACAAATGATGTATCCGTATTTTGTCAATCTTCATTTGTTTAATCTCTACAAAATTAATTCTTACAATTAGTTTATATAATGTTTTTTTTTTAATTTACTGTAAGTCATGCCTATTATAGTATAATACTATATTATAATATATACCGGATTTTGGAATATGTCTTCAATCCAAGGCGTTTTCTGACAACGTCGGAAATGTATTCATATCTTCCACATTTCCTAGAAATTCTTTAGAATGACAAATGAGAAACCGGTAAAGTAAAAAGGTAGATATGAAAGATTTCATTCTAAACCCGCTTATCTTCCGATACGATAAGGAGCGAAAGATACAGATTTTCCATGGTAATCTCTATGAATGTCGGTCTAAACATAATAGAATCTTCTACTACCATAGAGGCCCTATTATAAGTAATAATACACCGGCATAAAGTAAGTTCCAATTTGTATAAGTGCGCATAGTATAGGTGCGCACAGTCTCATAAACCCGCGCACAAAAAGAGCAGTCAAGGTGTTTAATAAGTTAAAAAAAATATTTACAAAGTAAATTTATAATAAAGGGGTTCCCACATCTGGGAAAGGACGAAACAAGACAGTCATCAATTCCTTTAAGTCAATTTGTCGTTCTGAAATTAATTGAACCATTTACCGGTGCTGAAAGAAATATAACCACTGATAATTTGTTTACTAGCAAATCACTGGGGCATCGAAATTATTGGAAATATATCGAGGAAAAATTTTTGGTTTCAATTAGCAGAAGAACTTAACACAGAGTACAAAGATCCATCTAAACTGGAAAACTTGAATGACCACTTGAAAAGCCCCGAAAGTTTTAATATACGAAAAACTTGCCAAATAGGTTTTTGTAATGAAAATAAAACTATGAATATATGTGCTGGCTGTAAAAAACATGTTTTTGGTAAATGTACATTGAAAAAAATTTCTTTATGCAAAAATTGTGGTGATCCAAACAATAACTAATCCTAAATAAAAAAAAACAAATAGTACCACCTTTTATGTAAATAGATGTATATATGCAATATTAGAATAAAATATATTTTATTTTCTTCAAAACTTTTCTCTTTGAATTTTCATATTTTGCTAACTAAATATCAGGCCGGTTTGGTAGAAATAGGTATATAACAACTGTTGGGAGTTCTAGTGTTAATGATTCAATAATGTTCAATTACACCTTTAATCAAAGAAAATAGTTCGAAGATAAGTGAAAATTGTTATTGGAAATTGCTTTTTACCCGAGCTAAAGATAACCATACGTAGTTACCTTAACATAACCGGTCAATCCAGTATTACCAGACATACCCAAAATCATTCGATAATTCGGGTTTCGTCCTCTGATTTGAAAATGTCTTCTATCTTATTTTATCGCTAGACCTAACTAATATAAATTCGATACGACGAACATTATCTACTAATTTTTGTTCTCTTTCTCTCTCTCTTTTATCGATATCTTTTAAATAAATATTCGATTCTCAATAATAATCAAGTTCCAAATAATTTTCGATATTGCGATAGTTCGATTAGATTTAATAATAGCTACTTACTTATGGCTTACATTCTTCGATCTAGAATGTACAAGAAATAATCGATCTTACTTGTTTCATTAAACTTGTTGCATAGTTTGATTTAATACTGAACGTACCACGATTGATTACGACATTTTTAAGTCCAATTTTATATTGCAATGTTATTGCTTTTTGACTTTACAACAATTATAATTATAAATATTATTTGATTTATATCTACAAATTGTTCGATTTATTTTCATTCAGTAATCAAGTTGACTATTATTTGCATTCAATACTAAAAAATAGAACTTTTTATAACAACCGGTTGTAATATGAATAGATAAACTTTCGTTAAGTTTAGTATTCGAATAAAATATTCCTTATTCACAAAGTATACTGTTCATTGTCAATTGAAATAAATGGATGAATGAATAGCTATTGTTTAGAAACGATCTATTAAACTTATCGATTGATAAATGTTCTCTTATTTATCAACTAGCTTGAGTTTATAAAAAAAAATATCTATAGTCAATTCATCATTGATTATTACACGATTCGATATAAAACATTTGAAAAATGACGAAGCACTATACGACCGACCTTACTATCTGATATGTGATTATTAAAAGGCTCCAAGAGCACCATCCCATGCATAGTTGTGTGCATACTAAATTGAAAACACACGTACGCGCGCGTGTGTGTGTGGAAGATTCGAGAAATGAAAAGAATTATACGTTTTGCTTGAGTACACACTTTTCAATTGCACCATTAAAGACAAGATTGATATCGAATTGTGATCATGCTAACTCATGCTTGGATAATTTATTTCAATAAAACGAATAATCTACACCGTCTCACAACGTTCCAATTGATCGTTCAAATGTAGAATAAAACGTTCTCTGTAACCTTGTCCTTTATACAACATTAATATTTAAAAACATCAAAGAACATTTTGTTATTCAACGATTTATTACTAAAATTAATGCGCAAGACTTTTATCACTAAAATTCTATTAGCTAAAAATTGTCATTATCTACGTCGTAAAAATATGTTATTCTACCACGAGCAAACTTTAGATAATCTAATCGACTACACGAATTGTTGTCTCTGTCTAGTTCAGTATATCGATTGCGAATTGATATTTTTGGGTTCTCAGCTTTGAACTCGAAATGTTATCTTGGCAAAATTATCAATCGAGAATGTACTGTACAACCTATAAAAACCGATAGATACGGAAAGAATATTGACTGTAAAATATGTAAATACAAGTTTCCACGAGAAAAATAACGTGTTCACTAGGAATCGATAATAATCGTGCGATTCGCGACCTACTGAGACCTGACCATTTATTATAATATACATGTGAATAAAAAGAAGAATTAAAATGAAACAAAAAAAAAAGAAAAATACATCATATTATATTTAAAAAATAGAGCTGAAACAAAATACTTGTAAATGCTTACCAGTTTTATCAATGATATAAAACGTATTCAAAAATTATTTAAAGCGAATAGCACGTGTCATACTTGGAGAGTGACATCATTTACGTAAATGTAATTAGGTTCATAAAAAAATAATAAAAGCAGTACTTACGAATGAGTAATAAGAAATAAAAATAATCAATTCGTCGAAATATATTTTTTACGTAGAAAGGAACGCACTTAGAAATGATCTAACGAATTGAAACTGAATTCTTCTTAAAATTGATTAGTGTCTACAAACAATTCTCAGGACAAATTTGGTCCGTCGAAGCTACGTAAGACGAGGATGAAGAAAATAAAACGCGACCGATAAAAAAGGGTAAAAAAAGGCTTTTTAAAGAGTACATATATGTGCCTATAGAAGAATACAAGATTGGCTTTACTTACTTACTTTAGTTTACGAAACTAACAATGTAAATGGTATAAAAAGGGTAAACACGTGCTCGGGAACGAGTCGAAGTCGCAATAGGTCTTCCCGCTTTGCCGATCCGCCGAGGACTGATCGTTCTATCTCTCTTTCTTTCACTATTACGGTTTGTCCGTCTTCGACTCCGGTTTGCTTGGTAAAAACCACGCGTGATCCAAGCCGACGGAGGAAACGGATGCATGCGGAGAATTCGATCGAAGGTCGAGGCAAACCTCTCCTTCTTTTTCTACTTTTATATTTACTTTTTTGTTTGTTTTTTTTTTTTATATATTTTTTATCCTTCTGCCTCCTCCTTATTCCTTCCTCCCTTTTCCTTTTAAATCTTATTTTCTATCCTTCTTCTTTTCCTCCTCCTCCTCCTCCTCCTCCTACTCCTCCTACTCCTCTCCTCATCTATCCCTTTCTCCTGCCCCCCTTTTTTTATCGTCACATTTTTCAACTCTCAATGATAGCATTTATCAATAATCTATTCTGATACATGTAAGTTACTTATATCTTATTGAATAATCTTTTTTATTCGAAAAAATAATCACAATTTTTTATTATTAACTTTAGAATTATTCGTATTTATAACTTTTTTTTTTTTTTCTTTATAACTCCGCAGATTATTCCAACCAATGGTGTATGGCCGGCTGAAATATTCTGCCGGGTCACGTGACCATGAGGTCTCTTTATGCTAGCATCTTCAGCATTGTAAGATGTTATAAGTTTCGACGCAATTCGATCGTTCCAAAAATTGTTAACGTTTATTTATTATTATTATCTCTTGCTAAATCTAATATTAATCAATAATATTAACGATAAGAATGAAGAAAATGTGCATAGTTCATCGCTCTTATATAGCAAAAAGAAAAGGAAATAAAACAAAAAAAAAAGAAAACAGATCAGTAATTCGATATCTCGATTGCACAAGATAAGAACTTATTTTTACTTGAACAATGATGAAGATAAATTACATGATCGTATTTATGAACTTAATGCTTGCTTCTTCTTCTTCTTCTTCATCTTGATCTTCTTCTTTATACGTAACACATATCTTATATTAATATTTACGTAAGAATGACGTAATTCGTTTAATATGCAAAATCGTTATGGTTTTTTAAATTCCCCGGTTAAACTTCGTGAACGTTCGATTTTCGCAAGGTTATTCGATATCGTATTATATATATAAATATATTTTTGTGGAAAATTAAATCTTCTATCTTTTAGCGAAAATATTACGAAATTTGGCGCAAGTGCAAATTTACGTTTGTTAACCTAAATCTTTGTTCTATTTTAACTAACACGCTTATTATACCAATCTGTTTATTAACTTGATTATAAAAAATTCAATTTCAATATAATATTTATATTGTACCCTTGTAAATAGATTTTATTTTAGAAATAAAAATCCGTTTTATTGAGATTTCTAAATACTCGAGAAGATTTCACTTATCGAAATACATTTATCTAAAGCATTTATCTAAAGACAAAAGATAAAAAATAAAAAATAGTAAAAAAACAAATTTATCTTATTGACATCAAGGACTTTCTGGTCACTTAAAAAAAAAAAAAAGAGAAACAAGAAAAAAAATGAGGAAAAAATAATTTTATCTCAATCGTTTGATGAGAGAGTTTCCTCATAAATGAAATATCTAAATTCCTCATAATTAAATATAAATTTTCTGAAAAATAATTACGAAATAAAAAGTAGAAACGTTGAAAATAAAAATCAAAATCAAACGATACGCATCGTTAACTATAATAACCTTCTCGTAAATTAAAAAAAAACCTTATAAAATGTAAAAAGAAATATAAGAATGAAACGGCACATTTTTTCTTTCTGGTTATCTCTCTTGTTCTTTTATTGTTTAATTTAATGAGCCAGAATGAGCATATGAAAATTGTTGACAATAAATATGATGCCAATAACCTCTGTTACCACTTGATACGTTAAAAGCAATGAACGAAAGATCAGCAATAAAATATCGTGAAAATTACGTAATTAAGAAGATCAATTTCGTAACGGCGCCGAATGTAACTGAAATAGAACGAGACAGTATAGGTGGTTAGATATTTCGTTGATGAATTAAATTTACATTTTCGAATAATATCAAGGAAATATGAGATTTAATAATTCTGTAAAATATCATTCGAATAAAACATATTTTATAAAATATATTTTTTTATAATATATATTTTTATTTTATTTTCTTTTTTATAAATTAACATATATGCAATACAATATTATCTTTTAAAATAATATCATGTATTTAAGAATACAAAATCATAGATAAATAAGAAAAATATAAAAGTATATAAAAGAATAATCGTATAAGCATTTACGGAAACGTACGTATGTATATGCATTAACTTGTGTTACGTACTTGACTTTTCGTAAAAAGAAAAAAATTCAAGAGTAACCCTTCTCACAAAAGAACGGGTCACTACCACGCACGTGTTAAGAATCAATACTGATTTACAATTGAAAAAATAAGAATAATAAGAAGCGATTTCTTTACCTGCAAAAATTCCTTCGTCGTGCCAAGGCACCGCAACGAATAAATTTAATCCGGATTGCAGGAAGGAGCTCTAATCCGGCGGAAGGAGCTCCGTCCTAACGTGCCTTCAATATTTTCGAAGGATTCATTGATTCTCCATTGATAGAAAACACTTTCGAGTATCATCGTTGAATCGTCGAATAATCTCAACGTGAAAGTTTCTACTTTCTTGTGCTAATTCGTGCACAAATAAAGCGCGAAATTTAATAACTTCCTATTAATAATAATTACTACTAGTTTTATTTATCTGTAAAAGTGAACAAGATTTCTACTCTCGCTACTTATTCCTTTATTTTCCTTCACGAATAAATCGTAAAATAAGGTTCTCCCTTAGAAATAATTAATCACAATAAAGATTATTGAAATTAATACTTGGCTAGAAAAAAGTAACACTCAATGTGATCGGATAGAATCAAGCTTTGTACTTGAGGAAACTCATCGATTTCTATACTGCTATGTATGTTAAGTTAGGTTAGGTTTTTCTTGTTACGTCGCTTGCGCGGAACACCGTCGAGAAATACAAAGCGATAGTCGACTTAACGAGACCGCAACTCGTTTTTTCTCTTATCAGAAACTCGTTCGGCGCGTTCTATCGAGATTTCGGACGAAATACTCGGATGATCGAACTTTCTTTAGTTCTGGAGGATAGCAGAAAACTTGGCATAGAACCTGAACAATAGAAAAAAATGAATAAGTACTATTAATTGTACATGTAAAATCTATAATTGCATACTTTATAATTTAATTATTTAATTAGTTATTAATAATTGAAAATACAAAAACATTTTTTCTCATTTCTAAGCAAAACATTGAAGTTTTCTATTGTTTCTTGTTTTCAATCAATTGCTCACTTTTTGTTTGTCCGGCTCCTCAAATTTTAATAATTAATTATTTTTTATTTATCGTTAATTAGTTGAAAATAATTATTACACTTTGAATAATTATGAAATGACGTCATGAGTGGGAGATATGTTATACGCATGCGCAACCACAAATTCAAGGCGCAAGCGCACTTTGAAAAAATTGAAAGAAAGTTGGTATACCTTTAAAGTTGATTTCCAAAGTAACAACCTATAGGGTAGTTAAAAGAAATAGGTTAATCGTTCATAATGTATAAACAATTGGTAAATATTTTTTAAATTATAATTTTTCTTTTAAATATATCTCCTTCAGGTATACCAACTTCTATGCCAACTTTTCTCTGCTATATTTTTCGTAGGCCTACTTATTCATACTCCGAATTCGAACACTAGATGTCAGTCATTTTGCTTTTAATTGCGAACGCGTATACGTATATTAATATTAAATATTTATATTAATCTCGAGAGACCCTATTTCTATATATTACTTAATAAAATGTCTTTTATATATATATATATATTGTAAATAATACATATATATATACAATGAAGATAATAAAAATATATATTTATTCGGAAATATGAAATAGGCAATTGACGGCAAATATTACCGACATAGCACGATATCGAATGGTGATAATAGAAAGGTAGGAATCTGCCAGAGATTTTTTAATCTTTCCTAATCTCCAATATCTTCAGAAGAATCTACAAGATCGGCAATCTTGTATTTTAATATTAGTTGTGTATACGAATATGGAGCTGTTCAGTGAAATTTAAAAAAAAAATTAATATTTTTACATTTATTTAAAGTTTATTAAAATAGTATATCGATATTTATCATGTCAATGACTAAAGTAAGTTTTAAATGCAGTGTTTAAGATACAATTAATAAAGAAAAGCAGGCAACGCATACATTAACTTGATGACTAAATAAAATTGTTATATTATCATGCGCATTTCAGGGAGATGACGACAAAGATGACAATTTCAAGAGACAAGGTTCATTTAGAAAACTTTTACCAACGAATGTCAACGGGGACTCTCAATTAAACATGTCAGTCAAAATGATCGATAGGCCAAATATCTCTCAAACCAACAAAGATTATGCAATTTTCTTACAGGAGTATAATATTCTTTCCGAATAGTAAGTGGCTGTTGTTAAGATTAGAACAATTATCTAACTATTGGATAAACTGTCCATATATCATTGAATGTATTTATTTATTTAATTATAGTAACATATTGCGTATCCAAGATTTAAAAGGAATTTATGTTATACCATCAGCACAGAATTCTTTTGGTATGTAACATTATTATTCTTTATATAATTTCCAACGACAACATTATTATGTTACTGTTTAAATAATTATTTAGATAGCATTTGTGTATGCAGTATATCCACTGTATATTTAAACAAAAATAAAGCGTATTTCGTATGGTTAGCTTAGAGTATTCATTGGTATCTTCTCTGTCAATAACTGAAATACATCACATAGGTTTTGCTTATCCTGAAAAACATTTGTATAATCTCAATGTAATTCTATTTTTAAATAATGTTTATTTATTAAACTCTTTTCTTAGCTTTTTTATGATTCACCGTTACTAGATATAGTAATATATTTATGTAGTAATATTTTTGATACCAGTATGGTTTGGAGTTCAATTTATTCGACAAGGAATTTATCAAGGTGGAGTTTTTAGATTTACTCTAACGTTGCCTGAAAATTTTCCGGACGGTGGATGTCCTGTAAGAGTTATATCATTTCAAATGTTTATTTTCTAATCTTGGTAGATTTCATGATAGCATTTATATTTTAGAAAGTTGTCTTTCAAACCCATGTCTTCCATCCGCTTATAAATCCAGAAACAGGAGAATTATGCACAACTTGGGGATTTGTTGAATGGAAAAGAAATAATAGGATATGGCAATTGGTACAGTACATAACAAAAATACTTACTAAAGTGGATACAAGAATGACACCTATAAATCAAGAAGCATCAATTTTGTGAGTAAATATTTTTTTCATCTTCGATGTAAGGAGAAGATTAACGATTACAAATTTGACAATATGCTTTAAATTAATAGATAATATTAAAGAAAGGTCGTTTTTCTATATCCTAGATTGCAAAACAATTTTGATCAGTTTGGGGAACGAGCCAAAGAATGTGTGAGAGAAAGTTTAAATGAAGTTTATAATCCGCCAGCATTCGAAGATCCACATTATATTACATTCAGTCCGTACATACCAGAATTGCATGATCCTGTAAAACAGCAAATATATGAATTAAAGGTAATTCTACAATATATTAAAATATAGGGGCATTTAAAAGCACGCATCATTAATAATTATCATTTTCATTGGTTCAGAAAGTGGAAGAAAATCGAGCATTGGGACTTTCTTGGGTTCAACCTGGTTCTCTTCAACCATTTTCAAAGCCAGAATCCAGATAATGAGCTTTACATTATTTATCATAGCAACGATGGATATTTTTACGAATTTAATTGCACAAGTACAAAGCCTGCTCTCTCTCTATCTCTTTCTTAATGACTTATATGATGAACAAAAAAAAATTGTTACTTCAAATTATATTTTTCTATAAACAAAATTGAGATACATATATTTGAAATTTATAACATCTTTTATTTATAAAATAATTCCTAATACGTACAATCTACCTGAAAATGCGAAAATTTTTGTACTTGGAGTTTTTTTCTGACAATAGAATATTATATATATAATTATTCTTAAACAAATCTTTTTTCATATCATAGAATCATACAATCTTTTCCAAGAATAAATACGAGAAAATAACATTTTATTTTTTCAAGTTTAATATTGTTTTTAAGAATGTTGCCAATTCCTTGCGCCAAAGATAACGAAATACTGCACAATTTCAAATATTTCTAATAGTTTAAGCGTTTTTAAAAACGCGACGCTTCAATTGGTCAGCCACACAAAATGTTTGAATTTTTTTTTTTACTTTTTAGTCCGTTGGTTAAAATATACTAATTATAAGATTATTTTACTTCGCGCTAATGATTAACTTCGAAATAGTTCGTATATGTATATATGCATACGTATTACATATTATATATCGTCTGATGTGTATTCGATCGTATCGGGAAAGATGTTGGTTGAATTTTGTTGGTCGAAGTGACACACGTTCTATCCTCCATATTGTAAAAATATTATCCCCAAATCTAGTTACCATGCACTGCCATGATAAATTACTATGTATCAGTTGAATGTATATACATAAGTACATATAGGAGCTTTCGAAGCTCGTCGATGATTTGGAGAGTTTTTCATAAAAAGAGATGATGGGAGCGATGTGTCATCGAAGAAGATGAGCGAAAGGAAATTCACTCGCGGCTTGGGAAAGCCGGGTATGGCTGCACAATTACGAGAAACCGTTTCACAGGTCGTACGGGAAAGTACCGTACAGGTAAGGATTACTTACTTTAACCGATACTTGCAAGCCCGATCACGCCCGATCATCTATTTTCACATTTTTTACTATGTATATCTGACAATTATACAATTATTCATGCATTTAACTATCACATCTATCTCGATACACTTCATTTACTAAGCGTTTCAACAACTATTTATTTCATCTTGATTACACTTACAATATATAAAACTGATCGATCGACTGTTTCTATCCAAAAAATAGAAAAAATATTTTCTAATTTTCGAGTATAGCGTTAAACATATATGCCACATATATAATTTATTTATTTTTAATTCTTCATTTTCTAAATAGACTATCTCTCTCTCTCTTTCTCTCTCTCTCTCTCTCTCTCTCTTTCTATCTTCCTATTATTATTCATTTTGTTCTAATAATATTAATTAAATGCATGTCATTTTTATTTCAGAGTAAACCACATTTAGTCGATCCTATTGATTTTGAGAGCTTTGTCCTAAAAAATAAAACATTATTGCAGAATGATCCACAAAGAGAATTATTGCTTTATCCATCAGACGATGTTTCTGTGAGTTAAGTTCTCTTACTTCTTATCTTTATCCTTGTCAGGGTCCTACATCCTATATGTAAAGAGATAAATAGCGATAACATAATAAGCTTAACTTTTGACTATACATATTCACATTAATTCACTCGTATTAAACATTTTTCTATATATATAAATATTCATTTTGGTTTATCATTTGTTTTAATGTAGCAAGTCGTTTTACCAAGGCGTTATCGCACTATTGTGCCAACAGGACAATATATTTCAGAGAATGACGAAGAAGGTGAAAGTCTTCTGACGAAAGAATGTTTAAAAAGCTACACTTCTAATTGGAATTTGGTGCATTATAAATACTCTGCATACAATGGAAGTTATCTCGATTTACCCAAGTATGTTTTCAATCGATATAACATTAATATACATGAAATATTATAAAGATACCATATATATGCATCTATTTTGTAGGATAACAAAAGCAGACGATCTCAAGGATGAAGTATATGAAATTGATACTGAAGTGGATCAAGTCGATGAGGTAATTACTATATTTCTCAACTGAATTTATTTAAAATATATTTTCTTTGTATTTTACAAAACTTTATTTATAGGATTTAGTGAAAAATAATGGAATTACAAAAGAAGGATACTTAATGAAAGGACCTGAAACTGGAAGTTCTGATCGAATGTTTGCTCATATCGGCTCGAAATCATTTAAAAGACGTTTTTGCCATTTAAGACAAGAAGTCGATGGCACATACATTTTAGAATTTTTCAAAGATGAAAAGAAAGGTGAAGCTAAGTTGGCAATAGTAATGGACTTTTGTACAGAAGTTGTTAGAAATTCTAAACGTGGAAGGTACTGTTTTGAGTTAAAAATGACAGGAACTCACAAGTCTTATACATTAGCAGCCGATAATGAAACAGACATGCAAGATTGGCTATCAAAGTTAAATTCTGTATTACAACATTACAAGCAACAAGAAGAGAAACGTGCTGCGTCCTTAGAAAGAACGTGTAATACCCCTCCTCCTTCTTCTCAGCCAATGCAGGTAATATGTATTCATATTTATTCTGTACGTATATCAGGCGAGAATGAACTTTTACAAATTTGAAACATTACGAATATAGGTATATGGAACGTTGAAAGGTTTGGAACAGAGTATGAATCCACAATTAATCAAGTATTCCAGGGAAACTGATACTAGTATAGCATTAGCTAGACGAGAAAATAGAAAACCTTTGTTTAATCTATATTCTCATATGCCGCGTGTAAAAGCATCTACAGGAAATTCTACCGAACATAATATCGATCCATATAAAGAACAATTTGGACATAGAATTTTTATTAAATGCGAAAGTCTCAAGTTCAGATTACAAGCTCCAATCGATGAAAAAGAAACTCTTTGTCAAGTGGAACCGTACCAAACAACATTATGCCTTTTTGATGCAAAACATGGTAGGAAACTTTCCGAAAATTTTTATTTCGACGTTAATCATGAAATTATGCAAGGCATGATCAAAGAATTAAGTCCTACTAGCATTATGACAGAATCTAGTGAAAATATAAGTTTACCTGAAGAATTGAGAATTGTGCCATTAGATTGGATAAAACATCCTAAACAGGTAATAATTAAGTTATTATTAAAGAACTCCTTTCTCAGCCTGTTGACATTTTTCTACTACTATATGTATATATACACATTTATCTTCGTTTAGGCTATATTTCATGTTAGTAATCCTCATCCTGACATATTTCTTGTGGTAAGAATAGATAAGATATTGCAAGGAAACATATGCCAAACTTCTGAACCATATGTCAGAGCAACTAAAGATCCAAGATTAGGTTTAAAAGTACACAAACAAGTTAGAGCGTGTTGCCAAAGGTAGAACATTTTTTTGTTTTTTTTTTTTCTTCATATTTTTTGTCTTATTACTTGGAAATATGTTCTAATAACTCTATTCAATATTTCTTTTTTAGATTAGGAAATTACAGAATGCCATTTGCATGGGCTGCTAGACCTTTATTTAGGCTATATAGCAATGAGTTAGATACTTCTCCAGACTTTCCAGCAATATATAGGCAGGAAGGGAATAAGATCCGAGATGAAGAACTATTAAAACTCCTTTCAGAGTATAGAAAGTATGTATTAATTTGCTAACATTCGTACTCGTATCTACTCATATCAATTTTCATTTCTTTCATTTACAGACCTGAAAAACTTAGTAAATTAACTGTTATACCCGGATGGTTGAAAATTAAAATTGAATCTATTATTGAGATACCAGAAAGTATGCCTCTTAATTATATATATTCGTTATTTATGTGTATGTATACAAGTGCATGTATAAATCGAACGTTTATATGTTTTCAGATACATTGTCAACATCCTTGACTCCTCTGAAACATTTTCCCATACCACCTGTCAACGATCCAACTCTTGAAATTGCAGAATTCGAAAGTACATCTGAAAAGGATGTTCATCCTTATACTACATATGTCAATCATCTTTATGTTTATCCACAAACTTTATCTTTTGATACTCAGAAGATATTTACAAGAGCTAGGAACATTGCATGTATTGTTGAATTACGAGACGATGATGGAGAAAATGTGGAACCCTTAAGAGTATATAAATTATAAGCTTATTACTTTATTTATTTATTCGTAATATTTACTTATGCGCTTATGCACTTATCAGCTTGTTTATGTATATTTCATATTCATTTAACTTTTTGGTAGTGTATTTATGGTCGTCCAGGTACGCCACTATTGTGTGTACGAGCGTCTTGCGCAGTCTTACATCATAATGCTATCCCATCTTGGTACGAAGAAATTAAGATAAGGTTACCAACTAAACTTCAATCAAAACATCATTTACTTTTTTCATTTTATCATATAAGCTGTGATATGAATAAGAAAAAGGAAAATGGGGTTGAAAATTGCGTTGGTTATGCTTGGGCTCCATTGTTATATAAAGGAAGGTAAGCGTACAATTTTAAATCTAAACATTTTATCAATTACCTAACTCAACATAATAAACATCCAATTCTAAAATCTACGTAATTTATACGCTCGCAGACTCAACGTAAATATGGATGTAAATGTTCAAGTTTTACCTGTTGCAACACATTTACCACAAGGATACCTGTCCATTCAACCCCTTGGTTTAGGGAAAGGGGTAAGAGTAAGATCATATTATTAATTTACTTTCTAATACTTGTTATGTTTCAAGATGTGGCTTTCATTTGTAATTTCTTTTATCATATTATCTTACATACTTGGAGGATTAGATTCTATAGAGAAATCACAGAGTAGATGAAATTTCATTACCTTCAACAATGGATGATAATGGTTTGTGGAAGAAAGCCTTATCTTATTCTTAGCGACGCTTGCGAAGTGCACAGAGATTTTTTTCAATATAAGCATGGGCATTAAGTGTTTTTAATATTTTATTGTTATAATTAGTCACCTGATAAGTGAGTTAATATTTTAAAGAAGAGTATCCGGACATGAAGATTACATGAATTTGGTCATATTAATGCTGCATCAATATCATTTAATCCTTGCATTTCAAATTGCACGAAATTAATTGTGCATTAAGTATAATTACAAATTTATATTATTACTTGCTAATTTATCTTTTTATACTAACATAAATATCACAAACATTTAGCGTGCCTTAATAAATATTGATTTTTACCTATTTTTAGAATGCTGGACCAGACATTACATGGATTGATTCTCAAAGACCAATATTTACAGTAGCTTTTCAATTAATATCGACCGTATTTACTCGAGATTCTCATTTATACAATCTTTTTGCTCATGCCGAGCGAATACTGGATACGAGGCCATCTGTAACGCCTTCAGATTCGGAAACATGTAAAATATTGAAAGCTGCTCATGCGATACAGTTGGTCACAGCTATTACTTTTCTTCCTACTATATTAAATCAATTGTTCACCTTATTAACGTATAATATCGGCGAAGAAGTAGGATTATATATCGTTAGAGTACTGATACATATTATTAATATGATACACGAAGCTGGCCGAAAAGAAATACTTCAGGCTTACATCAAGGTATTTTTCTATTTTTCTATTAATCTCAATCCTATATATATATAATGGTAAATTTCACCATAATGCTTTTTATAGTTTGTCTTTCTATCGCCATCACAAATGGCCTGTAATATGACTGTTCATGAACAATTAGGAAAATACCTGCCAATATTATTACAACCAAACAATACGGATTTTTTGGTAATTAACAAATTCATGCGTCATTCTAATTTTTTCTTTGAAATAATGATTAAAAGTATGGCACAATATCTACTTACTACTGGTAGGATAAAAGTAAGTTCATTATTTGATACGTTTTTGATAGTAAGTATATACCATATAAATTACTAAGAAAATCGATATTAATGCGTAAACATTATTTCAGATGCATAGAAATGAAAGATTTCCCAAAGAGTATCATGAACGCGTTAAGCATCTATTGGATGTAATCATGCCATACATAATAAATAAGTACAAAGAAATGCCAATTGAAACTCATGAATTAAATAAAAGCCTTGCTCAATTGTTGAAGGTATCTTTTAAATGTTTTTCGAAAGAAACTTGAAATATATGTATTAGAAATATGCATAATATTAATTAATAATGTTATATTTTTATATTATAGCATTGCCTCACATTTATGGATCGTGGCTTCGTTTTCCGTTTGATCAATTCGTACGTGGATAAATTTTCACCTGGTGATCCGCGCGCTCTACATGATTTTAAATTTACATTTCTTCAAATAATTTGTTCTCACGAACATTATATATCTTTTAATTTGCCAATGATGCAGTCTCGAATTTCACCTAGAGGTAAGAAGTTACGTTTAGCTACAATTTTGTCAATATTAGAAAATTTGGAAAAATAATGACTTTATTCCCTGCTTAGAAAATACTGAGAAAGAACCAGAATGTAATGGTATGTTAAGATAATATTCATGTACTCCCATTTTTATTGTGGTTTTTTATTGTAGCCATAGCAAGTGGGAGTAGTATGCAATTCTTCTCTTTTTCATCACCATTAATAAGTAGATTCAAATATTCAAATTTACAAGCCTTTCTTACTTAATATTTTTATTAATCATTACATTATGCATAATAGGTCGGTCTTGTGTATTATAAACTATTCTTTGTTAAAAACGCATGTGACATGGATATTCAGGAATTATATTCAGGACTTTATAAGAATTTTATTCTAATTATCTGTATTATTTACAGATTTGATGAATGAATACTGTCTATCGGAAGATTTCTGTAAGCATCATTTTTTGGTTGGCTTGTTACTCCAAGAAGTCAAAATATCTCTTAACGAAATCATGCAAATTCGAAAAGTATCCATAACTACTTTGAGAGATCTCTTGGCTAAGCACGAAATGGATGATAGATACCAAAATAAGGTTTTTCATTACTATATTTCTATCATTCTATTTCATTTCATATATTCTTATTATTCATTAAATTTGCATATTTTTAAATGGTAGGGACAATTGAGTAGGATAGCATCCATTTATATACCATGGTTAGAGATAGTATTGGAAAATTTGGTGCGTTTACAATCTGTACATGACAGTTCTAAAATAGAAAATAAACACAGTGATATAAATCGAATATCAACTAGCAGTTCCTTTTTGGCAACTAAAGATATCGCTAATAGTACTATAACATCAGGCACTCCCAAATCTATTCACAGGTGTGATCAGAAGAATCATTTAATTGCAATTATATTTATTATAATTATTGTTACTATTAATTTTGTTGTTGTTGTTGTTGTTGTTGTTGTTGTTATAGTTATTATTGTAATTGTTGTTTTTGATAATGATGACGATTATGACGACGATTATGACGACGATTATGACGACGATAACGACGACGACGACGACGATGACGACGATGACGACGATGACGATGACGACGACGACGATGACGATGATTTGATTACATAATTAATTATTTATAGACTTACGTTAAATTTGGATACGCAATCTCCCATCAGAGCATCTATACATTTGAGAGATTCTACATATTTTGCTGCTATCGCTGGACAAGGCTTGGTGAATGGCTATTCTTGTACAAGTATAGAATCAGATACATCAACGATGTCAGGTGCTTCTCAGTCAAATATATCTCAAGAAACAGCAATTATTCGAGAATCTGTGGAAAATGGTATAAGTGATAAAAAAAGACATTCTCGTTCTTTGAGCGTTACGCAGTCTTCACCCAGATTCGATAAATTGCAATCTTCTGAAGTTAAGGATATATTGCTTTGTTTTCTATTCGTGATCAAATATTTAGGCGATCATCAGGTTATTGCATGGTGGCAACAATGCAGTGATTCGGAAATATTGAGTTTTTTTACTGTCATCGAGTAAGTCTAATAATCATTTTTTTCTTTTTTATAAGATGAGAAATTATTTTATTAATATCTTTTTCCAGAATAAGTCTTCACCATTTCAAATATGTTGGTAAAAGACAAATAGCTACTAATGTAATAAATAATTCTGGAAAACCTCGTACAGTAAAAGCAATGACATTGCCAGCTAGAATGGCACCACCAGATTTCACTACTGAAAGTCCAACTACTGGTACACTGCAACCACATAATACTGTTACTAGAGAGAATCTTATTGAAAATGACAGTAGTAAAATGTATCAGGCTTTACTCGAGGCAAATATGGCTACAGAAGTTGGTCTTATAGCACTTGACTGCTTAGGTCTCTTTTGTATTCATTTTAAAGTATGTATTCATTCATATTTATATATCTTTGTGTTTGTGTGTGTGAGTGCACGCATGTGCGCGTATATAACGTTATGTCAATTATTAATAAGAATAATATATTTGCTCTTCATAGGATGCACTTTTAGCAGACAACGGAGAAAATCCAATAATGCAAAAGTTGTTCAACATCTATCTATCCTTTCTTCAAGTTGGTCAATCTGAGACCCTTTTACGTCACGTATTTGCTGGACTTCGAGCATTTTTAAATAATTATTCCATTGCTTTATTTCAAGGTGTGCATTTATATAGTTATCAAGTTACAAGTACTTTGAGTAGAAACAATTAATGCACACCCTAATACATATTTTCAGGAAATGCAGTACTTTGTGGGCGATTATGCTATGAATTATTACGATGTTGTAATAGTAAACTTAGTTCTATTAGACAAGAATCGTGTGCTTTACTATATTTGCTTATGAGAAGTAATTTTGAATTTACTAGTAGAAAAGGATTGACAAGAGTGCATTTACAGGTGAAATTAAGTTGGAAAAATAGATTTTAAATTAACAATATTTATTATACATTTTCGTTTCCATTTATTTTTTCAAGGTAATAATCTCAGTTTCACAAATGCTTGGGAATGTGATTGGTTTAAATAATTCAAGATTTCAAGAATCATTGTCATTGATAAATAGTTATGCTTCTTCTGATAAAGTAATGAAGGGTACTGGTTTTCCAGTTGAAGTTAAAGATTTGAATAAAAGAATTCGAACAGTTTTAATGGCAACAGCACAAATGAGGGAGCATAACAATGATCCTGAAATGCTTGTTGATTTACAACATAGTTTGGCTAATTCTTATGCCAGTACACCAGAATTAAGGCATACTTGGTTGGAAACTATGGCTAGAAATCATGCTAGAGATGGAAATTATTCCGAGGTACTTTTTACATACTTGTTACAGTAGTTATGTATGATATGATAAATCTATACGATTGCGTGTGATATTTCCCTTAGGCAGCTTGTTGCCAGTTACATATTGCAGCATTAATGGCAGAATATTTGAAATTGAAGAAAGTTCATACATGGGGAGCAGAGGCTTTTGACAGTATTTCCGCGAATATTTCTAGAGATGAGCGTAGCCTTAAGCTCGATGCTGGTGAGATTTGTATGTTTTGCATCATAATTGCATTGTATTTTAAGCAAGTTTGATATCAGCTTACTCATGCATATATAATAATAACGATTTCAAGTTTGGAGTGAATAGTCGGAAAACAATATTTCTCATCTAACTTTAACACGAAAGCAAATATTATATTTAAAATGATCTTTTCTACAGGCGTTCAAGATATTCATTACACAGAATATTTATTGCTTGAGCAATTGGAACTATGTGCTGAAATGTTAGAAAAAGCAGAACGTTTCGAATTACTTGGTCATCTGTATCGTTTAATAATTCCTATGTATGAAGAAAAAAGAAATTATGAAGCTTTAGCAAATTGTTATACGCATTTAGCACAAGCTTGCAATAAAATCGTTGAAGTCACTAAGTCCGGTAAACGGCTTCTTGGGAGATTTTATAGGATAGCATTTTTTGGATCTGTAAATATCGTCAATTTATCTTTTATCGTTTCTCATTGAAATAGTTTCTTCTCTCTATTAGGGTATGATTTATTTATTTATTTATTATTTTAGGCATATTTCGAAGAAGAAAATGGCCAAGAGTATATATATAAAGAACCCAAAGTGACATCATTATCAGAAATTTCCGAGCGACTTCATCATTTATATTCGGAAAAATTTGGTTTTGAAAATGTCAAGATGATAATGGACTCTGTACCCATCAATGTTGCTGAATTAGATCCAAAAATAGCATATATTCAAGTGACGCACGTAACTCCGTATTTTGAAAAAATAGAACTAGATACTCGACAAACAGAATTTGAACAAAATCACAATATATCTTGTTTTATGTTTGAAACTCCATTTACGAAAGATGGACGAGTAAGGGCAAATCCTGAAGATCAGTGGAAGAGAAGAACTATTTTAACAAGTACAATTATAAACTTTTGTCTCTGTGTATAATTCTAACGATTTATTTCTTTTATTTCTTCCATTGTTTTATTCCATTTGAAGATTATCAAATATTACTTACTTTTTATTTATTTATTTATAGCACAATATTCCTTTCCTTATATAAAAAAACGTATAGTAGTGATTGAAAAGAGAATAATGGAACTTAGCCCCATCGAAGTAGCTTTAGATGAAATGAGACAACGTGTTCAAGAATTAGAGGATGTGGCTTTAATAGCTCCAACGGATGTGAAAAAACTTCAATTACGTTTACAGGGAAGCATTTGTGTGACAGTAAACGCTGGTCCACTTGCTTATGCTTCTGCATTTTTAGACCCAGCACTTTCTCTGCAATATTCTGATGATAAAGTTGAAGAGTTGAAAGATGTTTTTAGGTAATTTTATTATATCTATAATTTATAATATCTCTTCTCACATATTATGTTTTATATATATGTATGTATGTATGTATTATGATATATGTATATGTATTCTCTTTTTTCTGTTTACAGGGAATTTGTAAAAATATGTTATACAGCTTTACAAATCAATAGTAAATTAATTACTTCCGATCAGTATGAATATCAGGAAGTATTACGTGAAAATTATCAAAAGCTTTGTGTAAGTTTATCATCGTTATTGGGTGAACCTATATGGTCGGACGAACAAGTTGGAAGTTTTAAACGTAACAGTGCGGGTCTATTTAGTGTTATTAGTGGCGCTAATAGTCACACGAGCACAGCCTAAGTCAAGAGATACTGTTGTTCATGTCTCTTGAAGTTCATTGCAATCACATTAGAGTATCTATATAAAATAATAAGCAAATCTCTCATATACGCTCATTATGCTTTAATTATGCTCACATTATGCTCGACGTATATATGTATACATATATATCATGATTTCTTAATCAGTAACTAGAGGCCACTTTCTATACCGTAAAGATTCTTTTCTTACATTAAAAAGAATTATTGAAAACAAAAGTATCGCGCACAATATTCTAATAAAACAGTAGTAAACTTGGTAGTATCGCTCTGACGAGATTTAAGGCTGACTATCATAAATTATATCAACTCGTTTTAGAATAGAGAAGTGGCTATATTTAAATACTTTATTTATATTTTTAAGATTTAGATAAACATATTTGTTATATTGATAGAGATACATAAAATTCAATTTTTATTTTATTAATGTATCATTGTCATACAATTGTTCAATTAACAACTATTATACCAATACAGCCACTGTGTTACATTTTTAATATATGCAATATTTGTGCATAATGATTTAACTAAGTATGAATTGTAAAATTATTTTAAGCATAAGAAAATGGATCAATTGTACTGTCTACTTTCTGTTAGTATGTACTTCCCAAGTGCAAAATCTAACACTTCATCTATTATAATATATAATATACGTATAGGCATATACAATACAATATACATTTAGAGCTTTTATTTATTAAGACTACAATAAGGTATTTTACACATTGTTAAATATATATATACGTATATGTATATGCAATGATAGCAAACTAGATTATGTTGCAAAACATTTATTAATTCATTGTGCAAAAATTGATTATGTGATTTATATGTTGTCTACTTCTCGAACATAGACTTTGATTTGTACATGTATAATTTATTTCGGATGCATGCGTAATGTATAAACGAGATCTATAATATAATAAGCTTAAGTTCGTATCGATAAGAGAAAATATATATAATAATAATAATAATAATAATAATAATAATAATAATAATAATACACAAAAAAGGATATATCTAACATTCATAAAAAGCCAATAAGAAAATCGTTTTTTTTAATTGAAAATATTCTTAATTTAGATATGCCTATAAAAATGAGTTTTTCTATTTGTTAGACATATCCTCGTTCGTTACAATATGTAGCATATACTTATTCAAGATGTACTTATTACGACTACTATTTCCCTAGTTCACGCATTTCACAAATTATTTTGATCCTGTAAAAAAGAAGTTATTTAAATATTTATTATGTGATATATTTTTAATAGAGTACATTATTTTTTTGTTATTATACTCACAATTATTCTTTTTTAAATTTTTGTACATAGTTGTCGTATAAGGGAAATCTTTTTAATGTCACAACAAAATATATATAAATACTAATTTTGGGAGAATTTCTCCAAATTCTGTGATTTTTAAAGATATTTAACACTTTTTTAATATTACGGATTAACATAACTGTGAATATAAATTTAAAAAAAAATTGTTGAACACAGTTATATTTTAACTAATTGTGTTAATACAGTTAAAATGTTTAAACAAATGAAGAAATGTATGTAGGTAATTCGATTTTACAAAAGAGTTTTTGGATTTTATTTCAATGATACATAAAGATTTTTTTACAAATAATATTTAATATACATATCTTATTTTATACCAATAGATAAGAGAGATTAAAGATAACAAAAGATTTTCTACAACATTTTTCGTATGTTTTTAATTGGAAAACAAGAGGAAACAGGATCAGTTAGAATTTTTGATAAAGCTATCAATAGTATCATGCCTTTGACTGAATATTATCGTCATTTTCATTAGAGAGATAAATATTATATCCACATTTTTGCCATTGCATATTATTTCTTTGATATTAATACTTTTCCTTTTATGTCTGGATATTCGAATTATTAGCACGCGTTTTGTTGTTTTAGCAAGTGAATTATACTATTCGTACAATTTATCTTATTGTGTTGCGTGCGCGAACATTTTCCATATATTTATATTTGCATATAAAAGCAAATAATTGAAAAATTTTATTCGTATTATATAATTAGGGTTTTCAGGTAATAATTGATCGAGAGTATTCTCTCGTAGTTACCGCGTTGTGACCATGTTGTGACTATACCGCCATAAGCTGGAAAAATATTGTAATTCCGACCAACGGAATATTTGTGTTTACAACTGTTAAAACGGGAAAGAATTATTAGCCTTTTGACATTGTTCTCGTGATATGATGTGCAAATGTACAAATTCTTCTTTTAATAGAATCATTGATGTAAAGCGAAATGTTTCATATCATGTATACATCTTTGCTGTATGAAAGTCGAAATGCTGTCCAGTATTGATATCGATAATTCTTATAGAAATACGTTTCTAACGATTGAAATATCAATCTGTTATTTAATACAGTATCACACAAATGAATAATAAAATGGCTAGCTTAAAGATTACAAATAAATAGTCATATTATTATTAAAAATCCTTTAGTCTTTTTGATTGAGTAAGTCTTTGGTAAGTAAGAGTATTATAAGGTTTTTAAATAGTATGGTAGAGGGAAACATGAACAACAAGATATTCAATATTATTAGATACTTTTTCTGTATTATTATTTAATTGCTATCACAGAGTCGGGATCATTGGCAAAAATTTGAATGTTTAGCGCCGCGTCATCATAATCGAGTCGAATATCGATATTAGTCTTAACAGAAATCGAAAGAGCGTCCTCTAGGCGTGTGTTAAGAAAAATAATGCTTATGTCGTTTAATGTGTTTGGCATTTTCTCTTGTGTTCGCTTCTATATTCTGTCCACTTGATTGAAAAACGATTATTTATTGAAACATTATATTTTGTATGTATTAAATCATTTTAAAGATACAAGATGACAACAGCTGCAAGGCCAACGTTTGATCCAGCCAGAGGTGGTCAGGGTCGGGGTGAAAAAGATTTAAGTGCGATATCAAAACAATACAGTAGCAGAGATTTGCCATCGCATACCAAATTAAAATATAGGTAAATAAATAAACACATAAGGCACATAATAAATGAAGATTATGTTAATTCTCCCTTTTAATATATCTACTTAAGCACGAGGCATGATTGCATTCAGGGTTGCGAACATAACCTTATATAACATCCTATGTTAAAGAATTATTATTATTTATTATTACATATTTTCAACATAACATTACAGAGAACATGGACAAGGAACGATCGAAGAGCTTCGTAGTCGCGATTTTCGCAAAGAATTGGAGGAACGTGATAGAGAAAAAGATAAAAGTTCTAGTCGACGTATGATTGAACCTACCAGAGAACCTGCTCCAACTAATGCAAAAAGACAAAAAATGGATCAAGTTCCAGCAGCTAGCTTGGATGCGGATGATCCTCTTGACGAAGATGAATCTGAGTCAGAGAGCGAAGAAGATGATACTGCAGCTCTCGTAGCTGAATTACAAAGGATTAAAAAAGAAAGGGCAGCTGAGCAAGCTAAAAAGGTCAATATCCTACACATATTTATTTTTACATATAGAGTAGATAAAACGTTTACTTAAATATATTATTTTGTTTTAATTGTAGGAAATGGAAAAGAAACAAGAAGAAGAAAGAATAAGAATGGAAAATATTCTTTCTGGAAATCCTTTACTCAATTATTCCTCTCAAAGTGGCAGAACAGACATGAAAGTGAGAAGAAGATGGGACGACGACGTTGTTTTTAAAAATTGTGCACGATCAGAACCAAAAAAAAAACATGATGTTTTTATTAACGATTCCTTAAGAAGCGAATTTCATCGTAAATTTATGGAAAAATATGTTAAGTAGCGCGGAACATCTTTTATAATAAATTTATTGAATTTTGTGATATATTTGTGTGCATATATTGCGTATTCGTAAATAATAATTAAAATTGACAAAAAGGAGAGAAAATATAGTTAGTTTACGTGCTAAAATATAAGCATTCTTTTTTACATGCATAGATTATGTTCAAAGTAATGATTTAAAAGAAGAAGCACAAATATAATACTCTGTGTACATTTATTTTCAATGAATATTAATGAATTACAAATAAAGTATGAGAGTCACAAGTTTTCCTTTTTACTGTCTACTGATTTTTCTGTATACCTATAGATATATTAGAATTATAAATATTCTATAAGCACGTATTTCATTTTTCTAAGAAGAATCAAGATTTTGGCAAAGTTAATTATCATTGACTTTAACAAAATCGTGAAATTTTTTATATACGAAAATATATAAATAAATTAGAAAGTACATATATATATATAGTACATATATACTGTAATAAGTGTAGCAATATGGTAAAAAGGAGGAAAGAAGGTATGACTAATTGTAGGATATAAAGGCAGAAAAGTAAGCGCGAATACATTAAGCAGAGGTTCTAGTAGTGTGTGGCTCATGTATTTACGTGGGCGCGTTTCGGTAGCGGTGCAAGCCAGTCTTTGCCGTCGAGAGCGTCTGTTAACCGCTGGGTCAAGTATAACCGGTCGTAGGGTGCCAAGAGATACAGGCAGCAGGCAGTCTACCGATGCGATGCGCAGCTGGTTATCGTCGGTAGACTCCCTGGCACCGACCTGGCCAACAAGCGGCAGGGACACGAGGCTGCTTCCATGAGAGCGAGAGAGAGAGAGAGAGAGAAAGTGAGAGAGAGAGAAAGAAGAACGACCGTTCACTGCTATATCTCCTTGAAATGATTTCTGAGAAGAGATATATTTTCTCCCGGCACATTCAATCTTTCGTTTGTAAGTTATCTTATTTCTCATATTTACATTTTTTTCTTTTCCTTTTAATGATCAATCACAAAGAAGCGCAACATAAAAAGTAGATTAAGTTTAAAACATAACAGGGTAAATATATTCGCATAATTATTGAAATATTCTTTGATGATTTGTATTAGAATAGAAAAATAAAAGGCAAATGTGGGATTGCACCATAAATGTCGTTAAAACTTAATTAATTACCATTTTTTACTTATTCTTCACCTCTATATAGAAATGGAATTAGAGCATATTTAGCGATAATACTAATAACTTTAATTGTCGTGTGGTAGGTAATATTTTCAATTTGTCTATGATTAAATTAAACGAAGCAATATTTAAGAGAAACAAATTTCATAATTTGAAAATTGAGTATCTTATATCAGCCATTGATCCCTTACAGATTTTACGAAAAGTTTGTATATGTTGTAAACGCTTAAATAGAAAACAATTATACAGACAAAAAAATTACATAGAAGAAATGTATTATTCTCTAGTGATATTATTCGATATATTCAGATAAAAAGTAAATTTAATCGATAGAATTGAAGTATATCAAGTATTTAAGTATATTGGTGTGTAAGAACAAAAATGATCATTCGAATGCTTATTCTACCGTGTGTCAAATTTATGACTTCTTAACTACTACTTCATAAATGTTTATTAATATAGACAAAATTAAAGGAATAACATGCTTTTTCTTTGTACATACTTTTGATTTCTTATTGAAAATGAATATTTAATCATTTGTAAAAAGAAATGAAAGAATTATAAGTAATAAAAAATGGACATATGAAACGTAAGTATTCGCTGGACGATTTGATAAAAAATGAAGTAAATTTTAAAAGAAGAATTGCTACGTTAGATTAGCCGCCATCGCTCCCGCACGTCGCTTATTCACTAACCGTGATCTCCGATACACGTAGAGTCGGATGATATTGTTGCTGAACACCGCCTACTTCTTCGACAGGGGCGGTCCTATCACTATGACGCAGGAACGTACAAATACTTTCGAGGATTTTTAATAACAATCGTCGGAAACATCTCGTTTCGTTATATTTGCAAGATTATCTATATAATAATCTAGTTTAGCAAGAAAATAGATCTTGTAATGATTGGATATTTCTTTCTTCTCAAAAACTTATTATTTTTTCTACTTACAATTAGATTGGTTAATGATACTATAGCTACATTGATGTTATTTTTTGTTTAGAATTGTCACAATTATCGACGCGCATTTATTTCAAGGATTCAATTTTGACACCGTTTTTATAATAATAAACTCTTTAGTAATAAACTCCACTCGATATTGCGTTATTATGTATTTATTGTTCATAAATATCTAAGTGATCTGCATATACGTAGGTAATTAAAATGAATCCGATTATGTAATAGTTTATAACTAACAATAAGTTAACAGAGAGAAAGTAATAAAGGAGGATAATATGAAAAAAAACTGTAGAAAATTGAAAAGCAGGGTAGAGTATCTAGTTGGTACGGATCTGGGAGGCGGTGGTAAAACCCTCACGGAGGAAAGTAGTAGCGAGAACGAGGAGGTGCATGGAAGATCGTATGGCATACCGCACGGTACGGGACGGCACATTGTATGGGGACTAGCAGACAAACTGACTACTGCTTTGGCACTGGCATCGCGGGAGTCGACGGTAGTAGCAGTGACGGCGGCAGCAGTGGCAGTGTTTGCTCATCGGTGCTCATCGAGAGTTCGAGCTAAGTGTGCTCGAGGTAGGATCGAACTGTTTAGTAAATGTCTCCAGTCCTGCCGAATTATCACAGCGTGCGCGCTTCTATACACCTTATTTTTTTCTTTTCAAACTAGAATAAATTGTGAAAAGCTATTAAAAAGGATTCGTGTGATCTTTGGATTCATAATTTCATCGAGTTACGTTAAGATCGAACAAGTCAAGTACGATAAACTTTATTTCAATCGATCCGCGCGGCGCAACACAGCGCAGCGCGGATCCTCGAAGATCCTTCGAGGAGAGTTTTTGCGCTGGCTTATAAAGATAACAAGTAATTGGGTAAGAAATAAAAACAAAGAGAAAGGGACGAAAACGATTAAGAGAAACGATTGCAACGGTGTTGAGGACAACGAGGAGCACAGTAAAGCTGACGACGACGACGACGACGACGACGAAGACGACGAAGACGACGAAGACGAAGACGAAAGTGTCGTGGCAGTGGTGGTGGTGGTGGTGGTGCTGGAGGCGGGAGGGTGACCTCCGGCCAGAGCTCGTCGACGACGAGATGTTATCACGCCGTCTCGCGCCGATCTTGATCCTCGCGACGATCCTCACCGAATTAACGACGAGCGGCTGTGGTGAGAGGATGAGCGGACTTTACGTTGATAATGGTTTTGATCAGACGATCGTACACAGGGTCGTTAGCCAGAGAGAAAAACGCGAAGTTGAGCACGAGATATTAAATCTGCTCGGATTACCTGATAGACCAAGGAACACAGCAGCAAGGCCACCTCAAATCAAGAGATCTGCACCAAAATTTCTTCTCGACATTTACAAGAATGCACTTGGCGAAGATGAGGACGACAGCCAAGGATCGATCGCCGATCAACAGCATAGAGCTGGAGGAGAGTTCGATCTTACTGGTCAAGATCTCAGGGCCATCGACCAGAGCGACGTCATCATGACCTTTGCTGCGCACAGTGAGTGATTATTCTCTTCGGGGTTGGGGGGTATACACGGGCAGAGTGAAGAAGAGAGAAGAAAGAGAGAGAGAGAGAGAGAGAGAGAGAGAGAGAGAAAGGGAGAAACTGACTACTCGCAATTCTGCGTGATTCCTTGCCATACTTGTCCGAATACGCGCATGGATAAACTCGTGGTAAAAAGAGAAAGATTATAGACGAAGACTTTGCACATTTTTTTTAATTTTTATCAACGTATATAATCAGATACTATTCTATCTCGTCTATTTTCTTTTTCATTTTCTTATTTGACCATAGGTCAGATGCTTCTTCCTTGTCATTTAGTTCCTACTCGTCATATTGTGACGTTTTAATTATCTCGAAATAATACATTACCTATTTGCTTGAAGTTGGGTAGGATTTATCTACGATGTCTTCAAAGACTTTCTCATAAGGCTGATCTTCTGGAATGAATGAAAGAAAAAAACAGAAGAGGTAGAGAAGGAAATGCATTTACGTTGTTCAAAGTAGAGATTGTGAACCTCGCTCACGACGTATTCCAAAACTCGTTTACGAACCCGTTCTTCGTGAATCTATGTCCTCGTAGAAACAGACTGAGAGGTAACGAGTATTAACTAGTTGTGAAGATTTAATACGTCTTTATAGTCATTTTATTTCACAAAGTTTGTTCATTTGATCAAACATTTGGCATTCATATCTCGATATGAATATTTTGCCAAGGATCCTAAGCGATTGTCAGATTTACCGTTTCTCGTATTTAACAGTTATTTTGGTAACACTCGTAATACGAAGCGGAAGCAGAAAGTCCAAAAGTTTTCATTACTTTCTTCGATTTCGACGTTAATAAATGTATGAAACTCGTCGTCTCGAGGTACTTTCTATTTGCTAAGATTCTCCTGTTATCGTGACACTTTACAATCGATTAATTTCCGAGCTATCGTCGATGTGTATCTACATATCTATATATATATTATACATATAAGTACATATATACAAATACATTCGTTCGAATTTATTCGATTCTTATGAATCTACACATTATATAGAAAATTTCTTTTTCAATTCGATGAGCTTCGACGAGAACGAATGAAAATTGATAAAGGTATATGCGCATCGATGCTACCTCTTCATTTCTTCTATCCAGAGATAAGATATTGAAGCGACAATAGAAAGTGCTTAAAATTGATAACCGAAAAAAATGCAAGTTTTCTTCTTTCATGAAGAAAGGAAGAGGAAGTCTGTACGATTGGTTGTCCAAGAACGACATCGACAAGGAATTCGATCTTGGTTTTGTGATCAGGCTTACGTGGTCGAACGTGAGAGGTCAGTTTCTAGTGTGGAACTTGGTATCCTTCGCAAAGAACACGGTTGGACTTCTCGGAAACTTCTTCTTCGTCCATGTCCTCTCTCTCTCTCTCTCTCTCTCTCTCTCTCTCTCTCTATCTGTCTGTTTGTCTGTCTGTCTGTCTGTCCGTCTGCCTCTCTCTCTCTCCCTCTCTCTCTCTCGTTTTTCTCTTTCCATCTCTCTCTTCTCGCCTCTCTCTATCTCCCTGACGTTGCCGTGGCTCTACCGTGGCTCGCGTTGAGAAACGTTCTAGGCTTTTCGACGTGATATGCGGCATGCATATAAATTGATACCCATAAGGCTATAACCATAACTTATTCGACATATGTATCCAACCCAATACTGGGAAATCTGAACGTCCGATAAAAACGTACATAAATTAAATCGCGTTATTACGTTATACAACTACCAGACCATTTTAATGAATTGCCCTGCCTCAAGTCTTTCTCTTTTCCGTACTTTTCGTTGCTATACTACCATGCCAATAATAATTAGAATTTAGAGATAAATGTATATATAATTAGAAAGCAACAATTGTAGATGTAAAACAAGGTTCTCCTCATTCAAAGATCGTGATAGCGCGCGCGCGCGCGCGCTATTGCGTTTTTTAATCAAAGTCATTCGCGAAAATAACTATTTAAATGGAAGTTCTTCTTTTTTCGATTCCCTAACTTTTCGGCCGAATCTGTTCGATTTATGATCCGTGTCTGAATAAATTCATAAAGTCCTTCGGAGATTTGTAGGCATAGTCATCGATAATTAAGTACCATGCCGATTCAAGGCCGTACGATCTCTACTTTCAAAAATATTATCAAGAATATCACATCTATAGTTACTAAATACAATAATTTCTTTGATCGATTGATTTGAAAGAAGGAAGAAAAAACGTTTCGGATTGGTAATAAAATAGATATAAAAACATCTTGATACACGTGCGCCTCATTACAATATATTATCTATAGTTTCTCAATCGCCTTTCTCTTTATTCTTTTTACTTGTTCTCTTTCCTTTGGTCATGGGTATCCCCGTTGGGAAGACGAGTCAATATCTCTCTTTCCCCACGTGAAGCCGCGGGCAGGTAAAAATGTCTCAACTTGGGTGCCTATGTTCATCCCGGATAGTTCTTTTGCTCCTTTCTTCTGCAAGACCATTCTCTTTCTCCTCTCTTCGTCTCTTCCTCCCACGACTATCTGTCTTTTACCAAGGGCGGCTCTATCTTGTCGGAGAGGCAGCGAAACAGAGAGAAAAGTATTTGGCAAAGAAGAAGACAAAATCTAGAAGAAATAGATAGATGGACCTATCCGGTTTTTTGTCGAGGTTGAAAAGTAGTGAATATAAAGCGATGATGATTTTACGATAGGACTAATGGCTCGGATCGACCATTAGATTCTTTAAGATTCTATTTGACTCGAACAAGTTTCAATAACGTCATAAAATAATGTCCCAGATTTTTTCAAAGGGAAATTAAATGATTGCTAATTCGAGAGAAAAAGATATAATAGGTATGCAAAATGAAAAAATAAGAAAAAGAAGAAAGATTAGTTTGGAAGGGGAGGATAGGATATACGAAGAAGGGTATATACTCTTCCTTGTAGTCAGTTGTCGGACGATGATGCGTTTGTATGTAAGAGAAGTTGGATGAAGCTGTAGGAGGGTGGAGGAGTCCAAGTGGGATGGAATAGAGTGGAATGGACGGACGGGTACGCGGAGAGGGTAAAAAAGAAAAGTCCCCACCGTTGGCGTGGAGCGGTCCAGAATGGACTCGAGCTATTCGGGACCACCCCGAGTGCCAGAGGTCCAGCCTCGCTTGCAGCAATCAGGTGCCGTTGGAATGCGACCGTTCGAGAAAAACAAAACAAATTTTTATGCCTTCGTCTGTTCCCCGCCCCCTCTTAAGACCCCCGTCTTAAGACCCCCGTCTTAAGACCCCCTCTTAAGACCCCCTCTTAAGACCCACCTCTTAAGGCTCTCTTCTACCTCCCCGATTCCGATGAGAGAAACATTAAGCATTACTTAGGCTTCTTCCTCTCTGGCCGTCGTCAGAGAAAGAAAGAGAAGAGGAGGAGAGAAATAGGATTTTTTATCTTCCTCTTCTTCTCTTTCAGCTTGAAGGGTAGTCTCTAGCTGCGGCTGCTTTGACGCTAGAAAAAAAGATGATTTCACGCTGCGAATTGTCTACGGCTCGTTCCAAAGATCCTCCTTTAGGAGAATAGCCCTTATCGATCTTTTAAACAAGCTTTCCTATTTGAGATATATCTTCTTTGTCGGTATATCCACAAAATATAACTGACCCATTTATTGAAATTCTTCTGTTCCAAAGGAATTTGTCCAAAAATATATTCTATTCTTTCGATCTTATCCATTTTTGCTCGACTTGACATGACTCATAGGAAAAACGTTTTAATAGATTCTTTTGGGAAAATTTGTTTTTCTACCAATCGTAAATGGCCTCTTTTCAACTGTCAGCTTATCTCGAAGGACAGAAGCTTTTGTAGTTTAGTAGATAAGGAGTAGAAACTAATTGCCTCGGGACGAACCCATATCGTAAATTTACGTTCCATGCGATGACCGTCGTTAAAACGACTTAATGAAAGTGCTTTTTTCTATTCGCAGATCATCACGTTCCTGGCGTGAGACACGAGCGCGGAAAAAGACTTTGGTTCGATGTCTCGGATGTTCCACCCGAAGAACACATAATCGGAGCTGAATTAAGACTTTATCAAAGCATAGACGCGAAAAGTCGAAGAAATTATGAATCTTACATGATTACGGCATATCAAGTTCTAAGAAGTGAAGATGGGTAAGCAAGCCTTAGGATTTAAATCTCTCTCCCTCTCCCTCTTTTTTTCTATTTCGTCACACTCTATGCAGTAAACAATTTATCTGGAAAAAAAAACAAAAAAAAAAAGAAAACAAAACAAGAGCAATTTAATTTGAGTGAAACGAGTATTGGTAGTTTTTGACATCGTCATCGCAACCCTAATTAGGCGGTTTCCAAGCTAGTGAAAAAATGTTAGGTATTTCTGTTCTACCTGTGAGAAAGCATCGAGGAACCATCCATAATTTTTCTTTCTTCTTATCTTTTTTTTTTGTCACTTTTTTTTATCTGTCTGATTAGTACCCAAAGTTTCGTCGAAGGTACGAATGATCGCACGGCGGATCGTTTCTCGATTTCTTCATCAATATATTATAGTAGGAGACAATGTATAGAGTAAATACAGGGAGATCGAGATGGAATGAAATTTGATATAGCAGGGTATCCGCATGATAGGTTGAACAATCGGGTCGATTAATTTGCTTCTTCTTCCGAGAGAGAGAGAGAGAGAGAAAACTTCCAACGACAATGGCGACGGTTTGTCTAAGCCCGTTATCACTCTCCCTCCCTCCTCTAATGGTACCACCGCAGACTTTGGTACTACGACCTGACCGATATACAGGCTCTGACAGGAAACACTATTCCGTAAATTGAGGTAAATTAGCTGTGGAGACGACGGACTCCAGGCAAGGAGTTAAGAATGTGAGTTACTTGCTGTGCCTACGCAGTTAGACACACGCAGTTAGACACACGCAGTTCCTCTGTCTCCACCTCTACCTCCTCCTACTCTTTCCTCTTCTTTTTCGTTTCCCTCGATGCGTCACGCATCCTTTTCTTCCTATTTCTTTCCCTTCATCTACTTGAAACTTCTTTCGAGACAAGTTGGCGACTCGGCTTTCTTATATACGCTCAGGTTTCTACAATATAAATGTTCTGTCAGACGCGAGACGCAGCCACGTGCTCTCCGTTCTGTCTCTTGTTGATAAATTAATAAAATTAATCAAATTCGAGATTCAATCGAATGTATACACAAGTTTATACCTACGTTGTATATAAGTAGGCATATAATCAACAGGCCTATCTTGTTTGAGAATCGATGTTCCTACAATCGTTTTCTCCGCATGATTCATTTTTCGCGAAGCGGCCAATCATACACCGATGCGAAACAATTTACATTCATTTCAACTTTCAACAATTTTCCAAACGATGATAGGTATGATGATCGCAACAAGTGAATGAGCCAGCTTTGCGAATTGATGCAAACTCGTTTACGTAAGCTAGGCTAGCCGATAGATTTTTCAGCTGATAAATCCGATCACATTTGCGTTCGTGCGGAAGGAATGTTATTTGAAACGCAATAATTATCGTGAGAAGAGACGAACGTGACGAGATAACTCATTGTTGGCATGCATGTACATACCTATACCTAGACTCATATTTATACACTGTATATATGTATTACGTACGAAGAAATAATTATGTGAATTGGACCGATGGCATTCGTCTCGACGAAAAAATCTAAAAATCTTTTCTTATGATTCGAAGTATTGACGGTGCTTTAAAGATTAGCAAATATTTCTAATAATACGTATCGGTAAGATTTTACACGTACTTATTATTAGTAGATTACTAGTAAGACATATATATATTTATCTCTGTTTTTAACTATTTGTCTTATTCTCTCTTGCTCATTATTTGTGTTTTTTTTTCTAATTATGCGCAGGCATGTTAATTATCTCTTCACGAATCTAAATCTGACGCAAAACGTGCTTCTTAGTTGTCGATGACAAAGCAGATTTTGTATTGATGCCTTGTTAAAGATAGCGAGCAGTCGACGACACTGCTTTATATTTTCTTTTTTTTTCTTTTTTGTCTTTTTTTTTTTAAGAGTTTATTAATGTAATATTATATATTTTTAGATCACGGGAATTGCAATATGTTGACGCGATAAACACCACAGTAGAAAAAGAAGGATGGTTGACATTAAACGTTAGCAAACCTCTTTCACATTGGGTGAATAACCCCAATGAAAATCGAGGATTGTACCTTTCAGTTCATCTTGCTGATCATTCTGGTAAGTTTGTGCTTACTTTTACTACAAACAACTATTTTTCAGGCATATTCGATAGAACTTGTTTTATTCTATTTGTAAGACCAATTCAATTCCCCGATCTTAGGCACATGAAAGACACAGATGCGTGTGCTTGCAATATGCATTAAGTAATATAGCTCGTAGCTAATAAGTTCTCCAATAAGGATCAGAAGTTCGACGCGGTTAATTCTGAATCGTCCCCATAGACCTGACTCGAATAACACTGAGCTAACTCTGAGCTAGATTTTACTCTGAGCTAGATTTTACTCTGAGCTACAAATGCATAAGAATGATTTCTCGAAGATACATTATTGCAATTTCTTACTCCCATTTTGATACGAGTTTCTTTTTCTCTCTCTTTCTTCTTTCCATTTCTCTTACGTGAAACTATTAAGATCTATCAATAACTCAAACAAATCAAAACTATAAGGCATCCAAAAGACACATCATTTTTTAAAAAAACAAGCATTGATTGGGAAAGAAATTCTTATCGATTTCTTCGGTGAAATGTAATAAGTGTCATTGATTCGACACATTGCTTCCGTTATTCGTACGAATGCAGTTTTCACATGATTTTACAAGTAATTAAAACTTCTTTTTATAAATGATTGGTAAAAGAGAGAATTGATATCTGTTTGTTTTTCTTTGTCATTGAGATTGTTCTCGAGTTAAAGACATGGAAAGATAGATAGATGGTGTAAAGCTAGATAATACTATAACTTTGACTATAAATCTAATTTTGTCATTGAATTTCAGATGAGATCATGAATAGTGAAATGAAAGACAATTTTTCTTTATTTATTTGTAATATTCAAAAAGCTTGTTTGATTCATTTTCGAATGGTTTTGTAAATCTTATCATGTTAATTGTTAAAATAATTTAAAATAATTTAAAATTGAATTTAAAGAATTCGATTACTCTCGCCAGAGAAAAGAATCTAATCAATCAAATATTTATTAACGTATAACGATAACTTATTCCGTCGAAAGATCGATCAAAGTGATAGTAAGTGACATTAATAATAAATCTCTTATTGGTAATATACGATCGGGACCTATTTGTTGATATAACGATATCCTCGAGAATATATAAATATATTATATGTTTCAAGCAAAGTAGCTGGAACCATTTGATGAACGTCTCGTACGCGACTACTCGTGTGTACGTAGAGTTTGTTGTTTGCCGCGCCTAGATCATTTTGTTGCTTGTTTCTTTCTTCCCGTACCCTCTCACTAGTCTCTCCCTCCATCTCCCATAACTCTTTCTCTCTCTCTCTCTCTCTCTTTCTTTCTCTTTGATACGCGCACACGTGCACACCGTCTTCCACTTCTCTCGTTCTCAGTACAACCGGTTTACCTTTGATCATTCAATATAAAACACAAGATCGGAGGTATACACTTTCATACAGCATCTTTCCTGCACATACGAATTAAGAGAGATACTTGCGTGCGTATGTGTGCACATACGAGTTTCGAGCTTCGAGAAGATGAGATATATATATATATATATATATTGTGGTATATATACCACAAGATAATTCTTCTTTTTTTTATTTTCGCCGAGAGGCACGTTCCTCTTACAACACGTATTTACTTACCTACGAATATTTATACACGTATTTTCCTCGGACAATTTTCCTTGTGTATTTAGATTTATTAATTAAGTGGTTCCTTCTTACCTCTAAAATAAAAAGTTTCTGTTATTTTGCAACAAACGAAATTTTGTAGAAAGTGTAGTTAGGCGATGTGATTACGTTCAAAGAACCGTACAGATGCTTTTTTGCATATTACACCTACGCATACTCGACGAGCAACATCTCGGTAAAGTTAATGATGCAGCGCGTGATATTTTTTCGTCTATAGATTTATGTAAATATTATTTGATTTATTTCATTGTATAACCGAGATGACAATACCTTTATTATTCTTTCTTGGATTTGTTGTTAAGTGTTACTGAAGTACAAAACGATTTAGTTACCTGAAAGGGTTGACGGTGAAGATACGAACCATTTTAGGGTTTGGCTTTTGAAACATATTTAAGATTCATATCAATAACGGTAAATGATATTTATTATTTCACACATATAATATATGGGTTCAACACGAACCGAAATGATTATTGTTACTTCAGACTCGTAAAGAGTATTGCCTATGAATGATAACATTAATAGATATGTTCTTTTGGACAAAGATCTAAGATTATTTTCGTTTTTTAGAATTTCGGGACATTTATCTGTCCGAATAGACTTTTAATTGTAACACTTCTTCAAAATCACTTTTCCAAATCGTCAGAATAAAGTTTTCCCCTCAATGTAGTAATAGGAAGTGAGAGGAGTTTTGATCGAGTAAAGTAAAGTGGAACAGAGTGCAGTAGCAGCAACAGATGTCTTATAATCGCCGCATTCCACGACGTACATTTTTCGTGTACGATGTCGGCATATAAACGCGACCGTTCGTATTATATAGAATCTATCCGTGGTAATCTTTACTATTATTTTCTATTTTTCTGCATTTCTCAAATGAACAACGATGTATATCTGATGTCATCCAATAATTATATAAATGTACAGAGAACGTTCATTGCGAATGAATTATTATATCTTCATATATCATGTGAAAGAAATATGTTGATAATAAGAAATAAATCCGTGTGAGATTTGTGCGAGAGTAACTCTAAAGCCATCGTTCTATAACGGCATTCATTCGTCGTGATCACGGTGGCAGGTGACCGCTGCAATCACGGCAAAATGCGCGTTCTTACGGACCAATATACTAGCTTTCTCGGACTTCTCCGCACGGCCAAGAGAACTCGTAAGAAGTAAGAATCATTTGCATACACGCCTGCCTGTAGCAATGCCTACCTGGAGCAATGCCTACCTGGAGCAATGTCTACCTGGAGCAATGCCTACCTGGAGCAATGCCTACCTGGAGAGTCATCGGTGTAATCTCTTTCGCCAGTCCGCACCTCGGTCTCTTCTGCTTTTTCTTTTATTTCCCCTTTACTTCTTGTGGCGAACGAGAGAGAGACGAAGAAAAAGAAAAGAAAGAAAAAGGAACAAAAGAGAAGGGAAGGAAAGATTCTTACACTCAACGAATCCGACGAAATTCGTTCTCGAATTTTAACAAATTTTCTCCTATGAATAGAATTCAACTACCTATATGTGTATTCGATCTTTCACAAATTCTCATGAGATGAACTGCAATGAAATTGGTTCACCTTTGGATATATGTTTGCATAAGTATGCAAGAAATCGTTAATTGGATCTACGAAAGAGATTGATTCTAATGTCGCGTTTCTATGCTTATTGAACATTTTTCGATGACATAAAAAAGATTGTGTGTGCACGTTAGAAACATTCTTTATGAGCATTCTGACGGAGAAAGTTCAAGTAGAAGGTATAAAAAGTGATACGTGTATATAAGTACATAATACTTACATATGTTTATCTACATTCGAATACGATATATTAATATCGTATTTTGTTTAGATCCTTTTCACGGGTAAGGAAAATGACATATAATTTCGTATAAATTAGAGAAATTGGATTAGGTGTCGGAGCAATAAGGAAATTATCTTGCATGTTTATGAAACTGTTAGTGATTCCGGTTAAAAATAGCAATAAAGCGTTCTTTTTATGAACGAAACCGTTAAATAAATCATAAGACAGAGTTACACGCATTGATCGTGACACGACTAGTGTAATAAGAACTGATAAATTGCTTCGAGGAAATAAACCGCCACTGAATATTCACTATGAAACGATGTTCGGTTTACTGATCAAAGCTATTTAATTATCGGTAATACTATGTGGAATGTCGTTCCACAGTCAAGTTTCTTCACCATTCAATGGCGAAGCCATTACAGGCATTCATGCATAGTATCGATCTTGAAAGATCTTCCGTTCTCCGTTGTTCTCCATTGTTTTTTCAAGAGGGCAATTCCCTTTAGACTATTACTCGCTGTCGTTATTGAAATTCATCATGGAAAGTCAAAACATAAACGGTAGGTAATCGTCGTCTAACGCGCAATCAACAATGCAAACACACGCATATCTAACATATTATATATATATATATATATATATCTACTTACATATATCGTATATAATTGAGATATTCTACGTGGCAACGTTACGTTACCTTAATTGCAGGGCTAACACATGTTGAGAAACCGCGAACTGTAATCTATAGAGTCAAAGTGAACGGCTCGATAGATATCAGACTGCTTGAGTTAGGTTCGAGATTCTTAAATAGTTAATATTCATGAAGGTTGGCTATTAATAATCTCAGAAGGTAGACCCATTCTAATAAATATACGCTCTAATGTATACGTCGTACATATTTACGTATGTTGATATGCATGTATGTAAGCATTCTTTTATAGAGTCAAACGTGCGTTTCTATAAACATTGTCGGAATGAAATCGAAACGATCGGTTGTTAATAGTTTAACTTTAATCATAAAAGAAATACATGACTTTAGGGACTTTAGAAAAATTAATTGTAATAAAAATAAGGATATTTGTCTTCTAGTACACGAGATGAAGCCAGAGGATATTGGTATCGTTGGGTTTAGAGGTGATCCAGATAAGCTACCCTTCATGGTTGGTTACTTTAAAAGTTCTGGCATTAGAGAATCGAAAGTAAGACAAAAACGTGATGCCAAGAGAAAAAAGAAAAGCGAAACGTCAACCTTAGATTATCGAAATAATCCTTACACCGGTAACTACCATATTTTCATTTCTTCAGTATTAATAGATAGAAATAGATGGATTTAGAGATATTTTAAGTTTCATACTCGAAATCGAATTAAAAATAAATTTAAATATTGCAGATGTTGGCGTGCAATACAACTCGAGAACTTGCAAGATCCAAACACTCTACGTCAGCTTCAGGGATCTTCAGTGGCAGGTAAATAATAAAGAATCGCTCAAGATTATTTTATGCAAAAATTTCTTCTCTTGTCGATTCGATCTTTGTCAGAAACTTACTTCTTGTTATTTATCGATGAATAATGAATACTGATTTTATAGGACTGGATCATAGCACCGGATGGATACGACGCATATTATTGCAGCGGTGAATGCAATTTTCCCTTGAACGCTCATATGAACGCTACCAATCATGCAATCGTACAGACATTGGTGCATCTCGTGAATCCTGGTAAAGTGCCAAAGCCCTGTTGTGCGCCAACAAAACTTTCTGCCATTTCAGTCTTATATTTTCTTGATGAGAGTAACGTTATTTTGAAAAAGTATAAGAATATGGTCGTAAAAAGCTGCGGCTGTCATTGATCATTTCAACTAAATAATTGAAAGATATATTCTTTCAATAGCTGGCGGAGCGCGCTCGCCATTCGGTTTCATAATCGTTTAGTATAGCGACAACGTATTCGTGACTCGACTATCCATAGAGCAAAAGTTAGTGACAAAAAATGAAACCCTATTGAAAAAGTAATAAGACTTTATATAAACTTCGGTTATAGGTATTTTGTCGAATAAAACTATTTCTTTTTCTTTTCTTCTTCCGAAAATGTACATTTATTTACATATGTACGAGAAAATATCAATGCAATTATTCCATGTAATTAGACTTATTTATGTTTTTTAGTATATCACGCATTCGAACGATCACGACACATTGTATGTATTTAAGAATATTTTTATCAATTATATCTATACCATAAAGTTATTTAGTATAAGACATTCTATTTTCTAATGACAATTGTTTTACAATCAGAAAACGAAAAATGGATAATTTATTATTATATAATTGCGCGATATTTAAATTCATTCGCTAATTAACAGTAATCTTTTAACATTATGACGTTTATTTTTTGTATTTTTACTGCTTTTATACTGCAACACAAAATTCAATATCAGTAGTAATAATGCTCACATAATATGAAAGTAATGTGTTCGTTATTATTTACCGATAATTATTTCCAAATAAATATAATATTAGATGCATTCTATCGCATAAATTACACGTACAATCGTATATATATATATATATATATATGTATATATATATGTATACATATAGATATAAAATTGGCTCTATCGAACGTCAAAGTGTATGAATGAGATTAAGTTTTTTCTTTTAAGTATTGAGACGTATAAGTGTGCTCAGAGGTAGGTATGTAAATTGAAAAATAATCTAGTTTACATTTATATACGTTCTCGTAATTTTTGTAATGACAATGTAAATATACCGTTGTACATATATTCAGCAATAATACACATTTAATTGTAAAAAAAAGAAAAAAGGTCTTATCTAAAATCATTCAGTTTTTCATTTCCTTCTCTTTTTAGAAAAATGAATCTATAAGTTTCATATATATATCACTAGAGAGAGAGAGAGAGAGAGAGAGAGAGAGAGAGAAGAGAAATTATTTAGTTATTTTGTGTGTATATATTATCGTTGATAGATAACGTTAAATTACAAATGTGGATAACTGTTAGTTAGCGACATTAACAATCATTTAGTAATTGTTCTTTTTACCGACAAGAGGTAACCTTGTATAAAATTATACCAAAGAATACAGAAGTACAGTTCACTTTTTTCTAACCAGATTCATCTTAGTTACTAGCCTGACCACCGGTGGGCGATAGTAGATACTTAACGCGATGACGGTAGAGAAGTTGATATATACCTGCAGGGGATATATTTAAAGTTGATTTCCAAAATAACAACCTATAGTGTAGTAAAAAGAAATAGGTTAATCGTTCATAATATAATGTATAAACAATAGGTAAATATTTTGTAAATTATAATTTTTTTTTTAAATATATCCCTACAGGTATACCAACTTAACTTTCATTTTTTTAAGTGCGCTTGCGCCTTGAATTTGTGGTTGCGCATGCGTATAACATATCTCCCACTCATGACGTCACTATTTCATAATTATTCAAAGTGTAATAATTATTTGCAACTAATTAACGATAAATAAAAAATATTTGATAAAATAAAGTTGAGAGAAACCGGACAAGCAAAAAGTCATCAATTGATTGAAAATAAAAAACATTAGAAAACTTCATTGCTTTGCTTAGAAATGAAAAAAAACATTTTTGTTCTTTCAATTATTAATAACGAATTAAATAATTAATTATTCAAGTTAATTAATAATTAATTATTAATTATTATTTCGCGCGTATTCTTATAATATGGTTGTATGCCACCAGAGGAAGAAATCTCATTCTATGATTGAACGCCGATTTTGAATCATGTCAATGTATAAACACATTCTATAAAGATTGATGATGCTTTTGGAATTATGTTTTAAGTTTAAAATTGATTAAGTTCGTATTACTACTCAAACGTATATACATATGTATAAAATATGAGTGACAGACGAAATAATTTTTATAGAAAACGTTTTTATACGAAAAAAAAAGCAACCGAACAAACTAGTAAGTTTTAAATGTAGGTTAAGTTTCTCTGCGTAATTGAATTTTTAATATAATTTCTCAGTCGGTAGAAATATTCTTATATGTATTATATAGTTACATTACATTTATAACGTAGTTACATTTACTGTTGATTAATACTTATGTTATGATAGGAATAACTAATGAAATTGAAACATCAGTAAAGCGATTACAAAGCTCATCTAAAGATAATGCGTCCTTACATATACATGAAAGTAGCAATATTCCATTCTATGGATGGACATTGTACTTTGATGAGAAAGGTATTGAAGAAGAAAGATCACTTTATTGTTAAAACGATACAAACAAACTCTAAATACTGTCTAATTAGTTCTTTTTCTTTTTTTTTAGAATACAAAAACTCCTCCAGTACAGTAAAAAAAGTTGAAGCTGTCAAACAATTTTTAAAAAGTTATTTAAAATTGTCATTATTTCTTACATTGGAAAATTTAGAGGCTGGGATGATTTTCCATATTGATTATAATGATTTATGCGATGATGAAAAATTTTTAAATGAGTGGAGTAACTTTAAAAATGATATACAAGAAAAATCAATATATACAATAAATTGCATCAAGCTTGCAATTCATCAGGTATATTTATATACATAAATATTGTTTAAAGAGAGATTATTTTTTTTGTTCTATTTAAAATTAGATTTACCGGAAAGTTTTGTCTATTTTCAAATGTGATAAGAGCATTGTTTCAATAAATTTAGAATTTTTCGAAATACAATGGTAAAAAGATTCAACCATATACGAGATAACATTACGGAAAGAGAATTTTCTGTTAGACCTAATATAAATTATATATATGTTTACATATAAATAATATTCCTGAATTATATACTGGAGAATATAACTTATATATATTGGTAAAGCAGTATTTATATATTCGTTTTATCGTATAGTATTATCGTTTATCATTTCCAGAATATTTTAAATACCATGTCCAAAGAAGATTTAGAAAGTTCTGTGAATTCAATTAATTTATTGCCTACAGTCAAAGTAAGAATATTAAACTATGCAGAAACAATTTGTTTACGAGATATTAAAGTGAATTCCTATGGTATTTTATTAAAACTATATATTATTCTGATATTCTGTATCATTAATACTTTTTCATTGTCTTTTTTCTTTTATTCAAGGAAAATTAATAAATACGAAAGGATGTGTTGTAAGAGTAGGAAGAGCAAAGCAGCTTGCTCAATGGTTTGCGTTTGTATGTACAAAATGTGGCTTAGAAAAGATGGAAAAACAATCGGAGGGATTATATACCATACCTAAAAAATGTATCATTTGTGGTGTATCAACATTTCAACCTGTATTGAATTCACCTCATGTGAAAACCATTTCTTTTCAAATGATTAGAATACAAGAGATATTCAATAACGAACAGGTATTTCCCTTTTTCAAATATATATATATATATAGTCAACGGCCTAGCCACGCTGGATTACTAGTTTCCAGTCGATCATTAAAGTTAAGAAACGTGAGTACGGTTAGTAACATGGATGGGTAATCCATCTGGAAAAACAAAATAACTAACTCTAGAGCAGACATGTCAAACACGCGCTAATGCATAGGTTGCAGCGTTGAGATTTTTAAAAATTTTTTGAGAAAAATATTAATTAATTATTTTAAAGTAAACTTTTTATTTTTATTTGTATGCAGTTGCAGTATGCAGTTTAAATTTTACATTTCAATAATTTTTAATTTAATGATTGAAAAAGAGAGAAAATATAGGTTTAAATTAAATCGAACATTCATAAATCTCATTTACAACAATATATTAAGCTTGGACATTGAGTCTAATAAATACATAATACATAATATAATCATTCTAAAAATCGTATTTTATTAATTTTTTGAACTTGAAAACATGTAGTCCCCAATTATAATACAAAATAGATCATGCAGCCCGTAATATCACATGAATTTGACATGCCTGCTCTAGAGAAACGATAAAAGAAGGCAACCTCTTAGGCAATATTGAATAAGTGTGAGAAGGTATTAGTAGAGGAATGACTCGAACCCATAAAAGGGAGAGTAAAAAGACAAAAAGTAATCATATATACTGTAAAAATATTATTAACTTTTATATGAGATTTATATGAAATTTTTTTAGGAAACTAAAGGTAGAATGCCTAGAATACTAGACGTAAAAATTTTTGATGATTTGGTGGATACTTGCATGCCAGGAGATGATTTATTGATTACAGGAATAGTTAAAGTAAGCGTTTATGTTATGCAATTAATTATTTTTTTTTAAATTCCTTTTTTTGTTCAATAATTTTGTACTATCAGGTTCTAGGAATCGACGATAATACATCTAAAGGACATGTTACTGCTTCATTTTCTTTTTACATGGAAGCTGTTACAATAGTTCATAACAATAATGTTAATGATAATAATATTGATAAAAATACTGACAAACTGCATATAAACACAGACACAGTCGCAAATGAAATGAATATAAAAGATTATCTTGCAATTAAGGTTTACATATACATATATTTCAAAATATATCTTATTTTATTTTTGTTTCATTTTACATTCGCAATAAAATCATAAAATTATTTTCTAGGAGGTATATGAAATGCCTAATGTATTTTCATTACTAGTACATTCATTGTGTCCAAGTATATATGGTCATGAAATGATTAAAGCGGGATTAGTGTTAAGCTTATTTGGTGGAAATGCAAAGCGTAGAAGCTTACGTGATCATATACATGTACTTATAGTAGGAGACCCTGGTCTTGGAAAATCACAAATGTTACAAGCATGTTCGCGTGTAGCTGTCAAAGGTGAATATATTTAAATATTTACTTCAACGCGTACATATCTCTAAAGGTATTTTTCTATGCTCAGGTGTGTATATATGTGGAAATTCGAGTACATCTTCAGGATTAACCGTTACTCTCACAAAAGAAAATGGGACAAATGACTTTGCGTTAGAACCTGGTGCTTTAGTTTTAGCAGATAGAGGTTGTTGTTGCATCGATGAATTTGATAAAATGTCTGTGCAACATCAGGTATATAAATGTTAAACCAAAAAAGCATATAATGTTCACATTTCTTGAATATTTCTTTGACTTGTATCGAAAAATTATATATTATGCAGGCTCTATTAGAATCTATGGAACAACAAAGTGTCACTGTTGCTAAATCCGGAATACTGTGCTCTCTTCCTTCTAGAACATCTGTCCTTGCAGCTGCAAATCACATTGGCGGTAGATACGATAAAAGCAAGACAGTTTTACAAAATTTAAATATAAGTCAACCTCTTCTTTCAAGATTTGATTTAATTTTTCTGCTCCTTGATAATCCAGATAAAGTATGTGGTTATTTAGAAAAACATTTTCCTTCCCTAACAATAAGTGTTACATTAATATTTTATAATTTCATTTTTTGTATATGTAATAGCAACGTGATTATTTAATATGTAAACATGTTATGTCGTCTCATATTAATTTAAATAACAAGACAGAGAAGACTTCAAGTGACGATCAATCAAAGCAGTTAATATCATTAAATGATTCTTTAAAGTAATTTGAAAAATAAGTTTATATTAGACGATAATTATTTCGTATATAAAATCCAATTATGTATGTTTCTTTCTAGAGAAAAACTAATGTTTTCATCGATAGAACCGAAAGACATAATACCACAGATTATACTAAAAAAATATATCTCATATGCTCGTCAATATGTTCATCCAAAATTAACTATTAAGGCGGCAGAAGTATTGAAAAAGTATTACTTAGAGCTCAGATTGAGGAATGCAGAATTAGGTGGTACACCTATATATAATAGACAGTTGGAAGCAATGATTAGACTAACCGAGGTTGGCTGTTACTCATTCTATTATAATTATAATAATTATGCTTATATTTTTACAAATGACATTGCGATAAATTACAATAAATAAATATTTGCAGGCTAGAGCAAAGTTAGAATTACGCGTTGAGGCTACAGAGTTAGATGCTCTAGAAGTAGTCAAAATATTGGAGTACACAATGATGAACATATTAGAAAATCCAACTTTGAAGTTACCACTTGGAAATAAGCTTACAGGGGGAAAAGTATATTTAACATGTATACATATATACTGGCTATTTTCGAAAATATGGACATAACTTCGGGGATAAATTAAAATAAGAAAAAAAATCATAAGAACATATGCCTGATATAATAAAAATGTGAACTTTTGATTGAATCTATCCCCAAAGTTATACCCACATTTATGGGAACATCTTGTATATATATTTTTGGAATTAGAAATACGTAATGTGTGTGTTTAAATTATTTATTAATTCATATAATTATTTTTTCCGATAGGTAAAAATATTTATAAAATTACTAGAAAATGAAATCAAATTGAATAGACAAAGATTATTTTCAGTTACAGAACTGAACGAAATTGCAGTTAATGGTGGTGTTAATGTAGAGGATTTTACTCTGTTTCTATCGAAATTGAATGAGCAAGGTATTTTACTACAAATTGAAAGAAATGTTTACAAATATGTTAAAATTTAATGGTTCCTATCATGAATATTACAATGTTTATATAAAAAAAAATATATACATTTTTTAATTAATAAATCATTTATAATTTTTTTTATATGTGCAGTATTTATATAAAATATAATTTTTAAATAAAAAACATGCAGTTTAAAATATTATTGCCTATTTCGTGGGACACGTTGATACTCTTGTAAGGTATCTTGGTGGACATCCTTAAGGGCACGGAGGTAAACAATAAAGAATACATTTTGGCGGACAAGGGCTACAAGATATGGATGGTGTACATATTGTAATTTTACATGGTGGTGGACACAGTAGACATGTTGGTGAGTAAGGTATACATCGTGGGCTTAGTGCGCATGGTGAGCAATCAGGCAGATAGCTAGGATTTACTGGACATGTCAATGAACATGTTGGGGAAAATGTATTGTAGTTCATGTTGAATTTTCTTTTGTACTTTTAATTGTTGTACCCTTCTTATAATTATTCTTTTGTATTTGTAATTTTAATAACCCATTGAATGTAAACCAATAATATTAAGTAACAAATTCATAATTCTTAGTAACTTAAGAAATATTTTCGAAAAATTACTCAAAAAATTTGGAAAGTGTATGAAAGTTTATGCGGTTGTTAGATATAATATGACAATCGCTTGCTATGGCAACTACTTTCCAAATAAACAAATAATTGAATAATTTAGGCTTCTTTTAAATCCAATGTTGTTCAAATTAAATTAATCGTATAAGATGTATATTTAAACAATTTGATAATTTTGACAATAAAAAAAAAAGAAAAAATTTATAGATAAATTTTAAGTATATATATGTTTACCATTGAAATTAAACATGCCTTGCGATGGAAAAAATCCAAATTGTGATAGAAGACGTGAATTATTAGCTCAACTCAAATGTTTAATTAGTTCCATGGATAGAAAGTAAGAGAATAAAAATATATATATATTACAATAAAGTTTATTTAATTATAAATTAATATAATAAATAGAAAACCATGTGAATGGGATGAACCACCATGCCCACCACCTGTAAACTGTCCGGTTATGAATTCTTGTGATCCATGCTGTGTAAGTTAAATTTATATTACATTATTTTTATAAACATAAAATTAATACAAATTGTAATCATATAGGAGCCTGTTAAGCGATGCAAAAGCTATGATCTTCGTGCAAGTATAATGCATCGATGCGAGTGTATCAGGAGGAATGGTTTACAAGACAGATGCATGATGTGGGATTGTATGGGTCGACCAGAGTGTTTAACAAAACTATATCCAGTGTGCGGACCTGGAGCTTGTGCGCTTTTAAAGCTAACAGATCTAGGAGATGTAAATGTAGCTCTTAGAAAATTTTTCTGCACAAATCAAGCAAGAGAATCTGCATTAGCAGCATATTGCAGACTTGTTTGCAATAGCCCTTGTCCGTCAATATGTCCTCCGCAGCTTTGTGTATCGCCTTATCCGTCTTTCTGTCCACCATGTATAACTTGTTGCTCACCTTGTACTCCCTGTGATCCGTGTGACCCATGTGAGCCATGTGTATCATATCCACCACTATGTCCACCACCTTATTTATCATCCTGTTTGCCTTATATGCCAAGCTGTGCAACATGTTAAATAGTTAGATATGTAGATAAGTATTTTATATTTTCTCAAATATGAAATGAATATTCTATACATATTTACATATTATGTATTTTTTGTGGTGTAACATATTGGCGTTCCGGCATTTTTTTACGGTATTTTGAATGCTTTAAGAGCGAATAATAAATATTTAAGGAAGAATAAGAATAAATAAGAAAGAAATAAGAAAATGAGAAAATAAAGTGTTTAGATTTAATCATGTCTGAAATAAAATAAAAATCTTTTTCACAAGAGGCGAGTTCCAGCACCTTTTTTTTTTTTTACAAAAAGCACATATTATATATAAATAATGAAAAATGTACAATCATTATATGTATGAGACTTAACGAGAAAAACATTACATTACATTATATTTAAAACTGTAGGCAAGTTTCTTTAAATAAAAAGTTAAATAGGTAATACATATAACACACACGTCTGTACGATATATTAAGAAAACATTGTACTGTACTCTCGTGTAAGATTTGAATTTAAGTATCAAGGTATTCCAATCAATGAGTTTGGACACGTAATATTTGTTTATACATTATCTATTTATCTATTTATCTATCAGAAGAATACTCCTTGTTTAGTCTACATGTCTATATAGTTGGCTGCAGCGCACGTGGTCGGTTGTGTTAAAATAACGGTATACAGAGGTCAGAAGTAGCATTCTTAGTGTAGCGACCTGCTGTCGATAAGCAGATTTCTACTTTATCCTATGC